CTTCAAAACAGAAGAACTCATCTTACAAGTCTGGCCCAGGCTGCATTTCCAAAAAGAGTGCCGGCTGATGCAGAGCTGACCAAGTTCCTCCAAGAAGATGCACTTGATGTGGTGGCATGACAATCAAAAAAGATATCCGTTGGTGGCCAAGTTGGCCCAAAAATACATGTGCATTTGTGCAACAAGCACCACCTCAGAGAGAATGTTTAGCACAGCTGGCAACATTGCTACTCCTGAGAGATCCTGTCTTAAGCCACACAAAGTCAACATGTTGGTATTTCTTTCTCGTAATCTGCCATAAAGTCTGAGAAATTATTGACATTTGAGGCATCTGTTTCATATTTTCTTTACAAAGGTCCTGGCAGTTTTATTCCTGGTCATTTTTTGTTAAGAGACTGAGTCTATTTTATTTATTGTTTTTGGTTGTTTGTTAATTTATTGTGTTCCAGCGTTAAATATTCGTTAAAAATAAAAGTTTATTTCTCTTTGAAAAGGTGTACCTGCATTATCATTGTAATCGATGCAAATGATCTCAGAACGACAATATAATCGCTTATCGCAATAATTTCTGAGACGTTCAGAAAAATTTGTTATCGTGACAGGCCTACGCTAAAGTGTACGCTGAATTAAAGCTGGGGTACGTAAATTTCCCCCTTTCATTAACAACTTGGTTGTGCCCAAATGCAAGAGGTTGTGAGCAAATCTTAACAGATTTATGTACATTTGGTATGAATGACAATGTGTCATTACATTTGATAATCTCATTTAACTTCAATTGGAGGGGTGTGACGGAGCGGGTCCGTCTGTAGTTACGTGCGCGGAGTTTTAAAGTAAAGGTTGACTTTAGTGCCGCATGCGCCACACGCGCACCTGCACGCACACACACACGCCATTCTAAACACGTGCACCCCTTTTTCCCTCTGTTCCATTAATGCTTAACATCCACACGCATCATCCATACTCCGGTCCCTCTCTTCCCTCAGTTACTAGTTCGCCCAGGGGTGCACACTGTGCGGGCTAGAAATACATTTAAGCATACATTCATACACGTACCGGTCTGTCGCGCTCCTCTGCATCTGTGCGTGAGGATCAAACCAGGACCATACTTCCTGGTGGGTTAAATGCGCCCTGGGAGCGTGGGGAATTGTCCTCAAGATTAAATGTACTTATAATGGCCTAATGTTTCATTGTAGAGTATAGTTTTATGTGTTGGACCAATAGGGAATGGGTCCATATATGTATTCTCTGTTTATACGTCCCATTTGTAATAATTCATTTTGTGTCCAAGTGGACCTGTTGTTTTTCCCTGCTAAATTCACTGTACATATGCACTGCACTGCATACACCAATTTTTATGCACTTTGGGGAAAATAAAAACACAAATAATCACTGCAATCCGAGCTCGCCTGTATTTTTCCTGAAGTAACCCACGACAAGTGGATTTGAAATAGAATGTTAAAAAATGCGATTAATCGTGAGTTAACTCACCATTTCTGTGCGATTAATCAACTAAACATTTATCGTTTGACAGCCCTAGTAAAAACACCATCCATCCATCCATTTTCTTCCGCTTTATCCGTTGCCGGGTCGCGGGGGCAGCAGTCTAAGCAGAGACGCCCAGACTTCCCTATCCACACACACTTCCTCCAGCTCGTCCGGGGGGACCCCAAGGCGTTCCCAGGCCAGCTGAGAGACATAGTCCCTCCAGCGTGTCCTAGGTCTTCCGCGGGGCCTCCTCCCGGTGGGACGTGCCCGGAACACCTCCCCAGGGAGGCGTCCAGGAGGCATCCGGAACAGATGCCCGAGCCACCTCAACTGGTTCCTCTCGACGTGGAGAAGCAGCGGCTCTACTCCGAGCTCCTCCCGTGTGACTGAGCTCCTCACCCTATCTCTAAGGGAGCGCCCAGCCACTCTGCGGAGGAAGCTCATTTCGACCGCTTGTATCCGCGATCTCGTTCTTTCGGTCATTACCCAAAGCTCATGACCATAGGTGAGGGAGGGAACGAAGATTGACCGGTAAACCGAGAGCTTTGCCTTTCGGCTCAGCTCCCTCTTTACCACAACGGTCCGATACAGCGACCGCATCACTGCGCACGCTGCACCGATCCGCCTGTCAATCTCACGCTCCATTCTTCCCTCACTCGTGAACAAGACCCCGAGATACTTGAACTCCTCCACTTGAGGAAGGACCTCTCCACCCACCTGCAGAGGGCAGGGCACCTTTTTCCGGTCGAGCACCATGGCCTCAGATTTGGAGGTGCTGATTCTCATCCCAGCCGCTTCACACTCTGCTGCAAACCGTCCCAGTGAATGCTGCAGGTCCTGGTTCGTTGGAGCCAACAGGACAACATCGTCCGCAAACAGCAGAGATGAAATTCTGTGGTCCCCGAACCGGACCCCCTCCGACCCCTGGCTGCGCCTAGATATTCTGTCCATAAATACAGTGAACAGAACCGGTGACAAAGGGCAGCCCTGTCGGAGGCCAACATTCACCGGGAACAGGTCTGACTTACTGCCGGCAATGCGAACACAGCTCTGGCTCCGGTCATACAGGGACCGGATGGCCCTCAGCAGAGGACCCCCGACCCGTACTCCCGGAGAACCCCCCAAAGGACACCCCGGGGAACACAGTCGAACGCCTTCTCCAAATCCACAAAGCATATGTGGACAGGTTGGGCGAACTCCCATGAACCCTCGAGTATCCGATGGAGAGTATAGAGCTGGTCCAGTGTTCCGCGACCGGGACGAAAACCACACTGCTCCTCCTGGATCCGAGATTCGACCATCGGCCGTAGCCTCCTCTCCAGTACCTTGGAGTAGACCTTACCGGGGAGGCTGAGGAGTGTGATCCCACGATAATTGGAACACACCCTCCGGTCCCCCTTCTTATAGAGAGGGACCACCACCCCGGTCTGCCACTCCATTGGCACCGCCCCCGATCGCCACGCGATGTTGCAGAGACGTGTCAGCCAAGACAGTCCTACAACATCCAGAGACTTTAGATAATCAGGGCGGATCTCATCCACACCCGGAGCCTTGCCACCATGGAGGCTACCAACCACCTTGGTGACCTCAGCCAGGGAGATGGATGTATCCGCCCCAGCATCCTCAGCCTCTGCCTCTGAGACAGAGGACGTGACGGGGGGATTGAGGAGAACCTCAAAGTATTCCTTCCACCGCCCGACAATATCCCCCGTCGAGGTCAGCAGCTCTCCACCCGCACCGTACATGGTGTTGGCAAAGAACTGCTTCCCCCTCCTGAGGCGCCGGACGGTTTGCCAGAATTTCTTTGAGGCCGACCGATAGTCATGCTCCATGGACTCTCCGAACTCCTCCCAGTCCCGGGTTTTTGCCTCTGCAACAGCCCGGGCCGCGGCACGCTTGGCCTGCCGGTACTGGACAGCTGCCTCAGGAGTCCCCCGAACCATCATGGCTCGATAGGACTCCTTCTTCAGCCTGACAGCTTCCCTTACTGCCGGTGTCCACCACCGGGTTCGGGGGTTGCCGCCGGGACCAGCACCAGAGACCTTGCGACCACAGCTACGGGCCGCCGCATCGGCGATTGAGGCAGAGAACATGGTCCACTCGGACTCCATGTCCCCCTCCTCCACCGGGACCTGGGAGAAACTCTCCCGGAGGTGTGAGTTGAAAGTCCGTCTGACAGGGGGCTCAGCGAGACGTTCCCAGCAGACCCTCACTATACGCTTGGGTCTGCCAGGTCTGACCGGCTCCTTCCCCTGCCAGCGGATCCAACTCACGACCAGGTGATGATCGGTTGACAGCTCCGCCCCTCTCTTTACCCGAGTGTCCGAGACACGCGGTCGAAGGTCAGATGATACGACAACAAAGTCGATCATCGACCTCCGGCCTAGGGTGTCCTGGTGCCACGTGCACTGGTGGACACCCTTGTGCTCGAACATGGTGTTCGTGATGGACAAACTGTGACTGGCACAGAAGTCCAACAACTGAACACCGCTCGGGTTCAGATCAGGGGGGCCGCTCTTCCCGATCACCCCTCTCCAAGTGTCACTGGCGTTTCCCACATGGGCGTTGAAGTCCCCCAGGAGAATAACGGAGTCCCCGGGCGGTGCACCGTCCAGTACCCCTCCCAAGGACTCCAAGAAGGCCGGGTACTCTGCACTGCTGTTAGGCCCGTAGGCCGTCACAACAGTGAGAGACTTGTCCCCCACCCGGAGGCGGAGGGACGCGACCCTCTCATTCACCGGGGAGAACTCCAACACGTGGCGGCTGAGATGGGGGGCAATGAGAATGGCCACCCCAGCTCGCCGCCTCTCCCCGCGGGAAACACCAGAAAAGTGGAGCGTCCAACCCCTCTCAAGGAGTTGGGTTCCAGAGCCCAAGCTGTGTGTGGAGGTGAGGCCGACTATCTCTAGTCGGTATCGCTCAACCTCCCCCACAAGCTCGGGCTCCTTCCCCCCCAGTGAGGTGACGTTCCACGTCCCAAGAGCCAGCTGTTGGGTGTGCGGACTGGGTCGTCGAGGTCTCCGCCTTCGACTGCTGCCCAGTCCTCTCTGCACCATGCCACCACGGACCCCTCTGCAGGTGGTGGGCCCACAGGAGGGACTGCCCACGTCGTCCATTCGGGCTGAGCCCGGACGGGCCCCGTGGGCTAAGGCCCGGCCACCAGGCGCTCTCCTACGAGCCCCGACCCCAGGCCTGGCTCCAGGGTGGGGCCCCGGCTGCGCCATGCCGGGCGACGTCACTGGTTTCGTATGAGTGCTGTCCATGGTGTCTTCTGGACTGCTCTTTGTCTGACTCGTCACCCGAGACCTGTCTGCCATGGGAGGCCCTACCAGGGGCATGAAGCCCCAGACAGCATAGCTGTCTGGGGGCACCACGTTAAGGTGGCAGTCCAGGGGTAAAAACACATTGATGTGAAAACAAGTGATTGAACCAAACTGTTTTAAACCCAGGAACTAGAGTCACGTCCCCAGCTTTAAGTCTGAGTGGGACTAAAAGCATGTCCTCTTGATCCTCAGAGAGTCTGGCCACACGGCGGTTCCACTGAAAGTACCTGACACCATCACCACGTGGCAGAGCGAGGCCTTCTGTCTGTCCCCAGAGCTTGGCATCGGACTCGCAACCCCGCAGCAGCTCACTGTGTTCCAGCCCTTCTTCTTGGAGCTGTCTCTGCCCTACTCTGTCATTCGAGGAGAGAGCTTCGAGCTGAAGGCCACGGTCTTCAACTACCTCCAGACCTGCATCATGGTTCAGTCCTGCTTTAGACCTGCTTTACCTGCTTTAGACTTACTTTAGTCCTGCTTTAGACCTGCTTTAGACCTGCTTTAGTCCTGCTTTAGACTTACTTTAGTCCTGCTTTAGACCTGGTTTAGTCCTGCTTTAGACTTACTTTAGTCCTGCTTTAGACCTGGTTTAGTCCTGCTTTAGACTTACTTTAGTCCTGCTTTATACTTACTTTAGTCCTACTTTAGACCTGGTTTAGTCCAGCTTTAGACCTGCTCCTGCTTTAGACTTACTTTAGTCCTGCTTTAGACATGGTTTAGTCCTGCTTTAGACCTGTGTTAGTCCTACTTTAGTCCTGCTTTAGACCTGTGTTAGTCCTCGTTTATTCCTGCTTTAGACCTGTGTTAGTCCTGGTTTAGTCCTGCTTTAGACCTGTGTTAGTCCTGGTTTAGTCCTGCTTTAGACCTGGTTTAGACCTGGTTTAGTTTGATTTTGTGCAATAAAAATATGATCTAAAGATGTGACAGAGTAAAAACACATTGAAGTAGTGAAAGAAACAAAATATTTTAGAGCCAGGACCTCGAGAGATGGACTTCACAACCTTCAGTCACAGTTTTGAAGATCTTCTGTCGGTTCCTTCACAGATGGACGTCCGCTCAGACCCGTCTCCAGACTTCAGCCTGACTCCTCTCTCAGACCAGTACATGTCCTGTCTTTGTGCCAACGAACGCAAGACCCTGAGCTGGACCCTGCTCCCATCTGCTCTCGGTAACTCAAGCCGGGGCCAGACCTGCTTTAGACCTGCTTTAGACTTGCTTTAGTCCTGCTCTAGTCCTGCTTTAGACCTGTTTTAGACTTGCTTTAGTCCTGCTCTAGACCTGCTTTAGACCTACTGTAGACCTACTTTAGACTCTCCTCCTGCAGGTGAAGTGAACATCACTGTGAGGGCGGAGGCAGTTCCGTCTCAGGTTCAGTGCGGGAACGAGATCCTTAGTGTTCCAGAGCGAGGACGAGTGGACGAGGTCACCAAACCACTGCGGGTCAAGGTAAAGAACACACACGCACACACACACACACACACTTGTGAACTCTGCTCTCTCTGCTCTCCAGCCTGAAGGCACCGAGGTATCAGTGGCCCACAACTGGCTCCTCTGTCCAAAAGGTGTGTGTTTGTATTATTTTGTGTGCAGGTTGATGTGTGTGCGGGTTGATGTGTGTGTGTGTTGATGTGTGTGTGTTTCAGGGGAGTCTCTGAAGGAGCAGGTGGAGCTTACGTTGCCTGACAATGTGGTTCCTGGATCGGCCCGAGCCACTGTGTCTGTGCTGGGTAAGAACAACACATTGACTGGGCCTCTAACCCGCCTTGCGAACAAGACTTAATATGATCATTTCAACCCAATCAAACTGGGTCTCTAGCTGCTGCTCACTTGTGGTTCTGGGGAAGAACGCTCTAACACTCCAGACGTCACACACAGTACATAATGTCAGCATAACGAGTTGAGGAGCTGTGTTTGGGTGAATAAAGCTCAAAGTTTTGCGTTGTTCTACTGTTTCCTTTCCCCTCTCTGGTCTTCCTGGTGTCTCTCTCTGGTCCCTCTCTCCATGGTTTTTCCTTTGTCCTCTACTCGCTTTTCAACTTTAGAAGACTTATTTACTTTTATATTGTCTTCCTTGTGGCGAAGAGCCAACAAGAGCCCAAAAAACACGCATCACATTCCCACTGTGTGTGTCTCAGGAGACATTCTTGGCCGAGCCATGAAGAACCTGGACGGTCTCCTGAAGATGCCGTACGGCTGTGGGGAGCAGAACATGGCTCTTCTGGCCCCAAACATCTACATCCTGCAGTACCTGAAAGAGACTGGCCAGCTGTCCCCTGAGGTCCAGGAGAAGGCCCTCAAGTTCCTGAGCAGTGGTGAGTCCAGACGGAAGCTCTAGATCCAGGACTGAGGCTGTAAACCAAGGGTCATCAACTATTTTTTAACAGTCTCCTCTGGGGCCAGACCCCGCAAACATTTTTTTTATCAGATTCATTTATTCGCCATTTGCAGTAAAACCACATTAGAATACATCTCCAGAAGTCACCAGTGTACATAAATATAACAAGGTTAAGAGAAAAATCAGGTCCAGGCACTCATCATTTGCAAAAGTAGATGGCTTTATTTATGGGCCAGAAACATTAAAAAGCACACCAACGCGTGTCGGCTTGCGCCTTCGTCAGGGTGTGTGTAGAGACAAACAGTAAACCAATTTATAATGTCTGACTGCAGGTGTGCAGCCAGGACATTGAGACACATGCTGTCATAGTCCTTTTGGACACAAGGGGGAGACATTTCGTCTTCACAGTATAGTGGCAACAAGAAAAAACATAGACAAACAAAATTATTATAAAAAACAAGAGAGGTCCAGATCATCATTCAGGCCAGGGTATTTTGTAGCACTAAGAGCATGGATCCAATATGCTTCTCTTTGCCTTAGGCGTAAGATTTTATCACCACCCCTGGCATTTAGAGTGATAACCTCAATTCCTGACACCTTTAGGGTGGAGTCATGGCTATGATGGACATCCATATAATGTCTGGCCATAGGATAATTTGGGTTATTGGAGCGAATGGCATATCTGTGTTCAGCCACTCTATCCCTCAGCCTCCTTTTAGTGAGGCCCACGTAGAAGCACCCACAGGGACATTCAATTTCTTTTAAATAACAAGGTTAAGGTTTTATTATTATTAAAAGTTAGTCAGAAATACAATACAATACAATAAAATGTATTCTTGTATAGCCCTAAATCACAACAGTAGTCATCTTAGGGGACTTAACAATACCATTGAAATCACCAACACAGATCAGAGAATCAACAGTTAAGACACAAAAGAATATAGAACACACATAGAGCACACGTTGATAAATGTCCATACATTTTGTAGGATCATCACCACAGTCCTTTTTGTCAGACACTAACTGTCCAACAGACCCTCCTGCATCGGCAAGGAAAAACTCATTGGGAAAAAAGTGAAAAACCTCAGGGAGACCCACATATTGAGAGAGGGATCGCTCCACACGGACGGACGGGCTAATGATCCAGTGCCTAAGCTTCAGAACAAGGACCAATCCCTGGCAGTGGCCGCAGAACGTGGACAGGTCTGGTGCAGGACTGAAACAGCTCCCCAGGGTCGGGCAGGGCAGTCCGCAGGTGTAGATGGAGAGGACCAGGTTCAGAGGTCCTGTCGTCGCACCATGAAACAGACAATGGGACAACAGGTGAATAGCAATGAACAGATTACAGTCAAAATCCTAATAATACAGACAGATAAAGTAGCTTACCCTGAATGTGGAGACCGTGTACAAACGAAGGAGGGACAGCAGCAGCCACGGCTAGGCTAGCAACTGCAGCACCAAGGATTCGTGGATTACACACAAAGTGTGTAAACCAAACCAGACAAACAACCTAACCATATGCTAAATTGAAGAAGAGTGTTTTAAGCCTGGCCTTAAATGTGGAGACCGTATCTACTTCCTTAGCCTGGCCTTAGCCATCCGTACACTCCGTTAAATCATCATTTAATTTCACTGCATGTAACGTCTGGGTCTAGTCCTTGTGTTGGCGATTACAATCGGTTGAATGGCGACCGACCAATCAGCGAGCGCGGAAGGCAGGTGTTGTAGTTAGTTGTGGGTGAAGCAAAGAGTTTGCGTCGAACGAGAAGGTTGTAGTTTGGTAATGGCTAAATGCTAAATGCTAACGACAGACTCGGGCGCACTACATACGTCACGGTAAACTCAGATCCAATCGTTTCAATCTGCAAAAGGAGTTAACTCCTCCCACCTGTAAACGGAGCTCAATGGAGCACGTCCAGACCTTAGTACGAAATGTCATTTGTACTATGGTGTGGTACGACCAGGCTACTACTTCCTTAACGTGGATGGGAAGCTGATTCCACAGTAAAGGAGCTTGGTAGCTAAATGCTCTGCTGCCGACAGTGCTTTTTGAGACCTTAGGAACCACCAGACGTCTGCCGTTTTGCGAGCGCAGTGCTCTGCTCGGTTGATATGACACTAACGTGTCTTGAAGATAAGAAGTCATTTATGGCTTTGTGTGTTAAAAGAAGGATTTTAAACTTTATTGTATACTCCACGGGAAGCCAATGGAGTGATTTTAACACCGGAGTTATGTGCTCCCTCCTTCTGCTTGTTAAGATCCTTGCTGCTGTATTTTGAAGAAATAGAAAAGAGGTTTTAGAAAAGAAGAGGTTTTAGGGCACGCTGCCAGCAAAGCGTTACAGTAGTCAAGCCTTGAGGTGACAAAGGCGTGGATCAGTTTTTCCGCGTCACTTTTAGGAAGGATATTCCTGATTTTAATGATGTTCTGCAAGTGGAAGTACGCTGTTTTAGTTGCTTGGCTTATATAAGCCTTGAATGAGAGTTCTTCGTCGAATATGACTCCAAGATTCCTCACAGTGTTGCTGGGTACTATGCTGACATTTTCGAGAGTGATTATCTGGTTGATAAAGGAGTCGAGCATGAGCTTTGGACCGAGTAGGATCACTTCTGTCTTCTCCGGGTTAAGCTGTAGAAAGTTAAGAGTCATCCATGTTTTAAGGTCTTTTATGCAGGCACTGAGCCTTTTCAACTGATCCGTCTGAATTAGTTTCATCGACAGATAAAGCTGCGTGTCAGCTTATTAAGTTAATTCCATGCTTTTTAATTATGTTACCTTGTGGCAGTATGTAGAGTGTGAAAAGAATCGGTCCGAGTACCGATCCCTGCGGCACACCAAATTCCACTCCAGAACAAAGGCGACGAGTTATGATTCACATTCACAAAGTGATACCGATCTGATAGATACGATTTAAACCATCCAAGGGCTCTTCCTCTGAGACCTATATCACATTCTAGCCTCCGCAGTAGAATGCTGTGGTTTATTGTGTCAAATGCAGCACTAAGGTCCAGTAGGACCAACACTGACACTTGTCCATTATCAGCAGCTAGTAGTAAGTCCTTTGTGACTTTGACTAGTGCCGTTTCAGTGCTTGAGGAGCTCTGAATCCTGATTGAAAGATTTCAAACATATTATTAGCTTTGCTGCCACCTGCAGGAATTAATAATAATAATGAATAATAACACTCAAAGACGCTTCACATGTGATAATTCTTTCTCTCCAAACACAGTAGTGATAAACTAATACTGAAGCCACATCTGCCCTGGGGCACGCTGACAGAAGCGAGGCAACCAGTATGTGCCATCGGCCCCTCCCACCACCAACACATACACCAGACTCATTCTAATGTGGGTGAAGTGTGTTGCCTAAGGACACAACAACAGTTAAGCACTTTACAGCTGCAGTCACACACCTGGTGTTCCCAGAGGTCTCCCATCTCAGTACTAACCAGGCGCTGCCCTGCACAACTTCATAGGTCTGACGGGATCTGACTTTCACACAAGAATGGCCACCAAATAAACCAAACAAAACAGGAAGCAATTGATACTGTGAAATCGATCAAACTAAAACAGTTTATAGGAAAGATCATTTAGAGTGCCTAAACCGTTAGCAAAACAAGATGTCCTACATCTCAACAAACGATATCTTCTGCCAGAGGGAAGAAGCTGGAACATGATTCATTAGAAGATTCATTATTATTATGAAAAAGAAAAAAGCGGCTTGTTGAGTGCTGTAGACCCAAGACTGAGGCTGTAGACCCAGGACTAAGGCTGTAGACCCAGGACTGAGGAGATGGTACGTGTTCTGTTGCAGGATACCAGCGGCAGCTCAACTACAAACACAGTGATGGAGGTTACAGTGCGTTTGGTCATGGAGAAGGGAACACATGGTGAGTCTTCCCCTGTTCAAAAACGCTATGTTCTTAAACTCTTTACAATGAGCTAATCTTTCAGACTGTGGCCTCATGAAGAGTGAACCGGGGCGAGACCAGAGAGAGAGAGAGAGAGACCAGCAAGAGAGACCAGAGAGAGAGAGAGACCAGAGAGAGAGAGAGAGACCAGAGAGAGAGAGAGAGACCAGAGAGAGAGAGGGACCAGAGAGAGAGAGAGGGACCAGAGAGAGGGACCAGAGAGAGGGACCAGAGAGAGGGACCAGAGAGAGGGACCGGAGAGAGGGACCGGAGAGAGGGACCGGAGAGAGGGACCGGAGAGAGGGACCGGAGAGAGGGACCGGAGAGCGAGACCGGAGAGCGAGACCGGAGAGCGAGACCGGAGAGCGAGACCGGAGAGCGAGACCGGAGAGCGAGACCGGAGAGCGAGACCGGAGAGCGAGACCGGAGAGCGAGACCGGAGAGCGAGACCGGAGAGCGAGACCGGAGAGCGAGACCGGAGAGCGAGACCGGAGAGCGAGACCGGAGAGCGAGACCGGAGAGCGAGACCGGAGAGCGAGACCGGAGAGCGAGACCGGAGAGAGAGAGAACACACACTAACAGTCCTGTCCTGTGTTCTCAGGTTGACTGCCTTCGTGGTGCGCTGCTTCTCTAAGGCCAAGTCCTTTGTCTACATTGACCCAGAGAAGATTCATCAGTCCAGGGTCTGGCTCCAGTGGCGACAGAGACCTGATGGCTGCTTTTGGCCCTCAGGGAAACTCTTCAACAACCGCCTGAAGGTGGGACAACCTGGGACTACCTGGGAAAACCAGGGACAACCATACAACCTGGGAAAACCTTTAGTCTTGAGAGAACCATAAGTCCTGACCCTGGTAGAGCCCAGCTTTAGTGTAGTTGCTGCCGTGTGTCCAGGGCGGAGTCTCGGATGACGTCACCCTCAGCGCCTACATCACTGCGGCTCTTCTGGAGATGAACATGTCAAGAACCGTGAGTCCAGAGTGTGTGTGTGTGTGTGTGTGTGTGTGTGTGTGCCTCTGTCTCTGATTTGGTAGTCCTTATATGGCTTATATCGATAGACAAAACCACAATATGAAGACCAGGATTGCAGAGAAACCATAGATTCAAGGTCAAAATGGTGATTTACATGGAAGATTTTACATGGAAGTCAATAGGAGCCAGAGAGAGGAGCCAAACTCAAGCTTTGCGCCAAATATGCATGTGGCTCTCATGCACGTGCAAGAGGGGCTCGGCCGCGCTCTGACCAATCAGAGCAGAGGTAGAGCGGAGTTAGAGCGGAAGACGATCAAGCTGAGTTTGTTGCTCTAAAGTGTGGATTTGTAGAAAACCAAAGGATTTAACAAGAATAAAAGATCAGGAGGACAAGGGACACTAAAATCCCCTCAAAATCTGACCTTTGTGAAAGCTGTAGGTTCTCTGTCAGCTGAGTTTGAGCTGGACATTTTTCTTTGTAACCCACATGAATTTAGTCTGCAGTTCCGTATGCCCATTGGTGGAACAGCTATAAGCTAGTAATACCCTATCAAAATATTAATATAAATCCATGGCCGAACTTCAATGAGCTAGCGGGATATCATTGCCCATCTATATACAGTCTGTGTGTGTTTGTGTGCGTATGTGTAGGACTCTGTTGTAGAGCGCAGTCTGTCCTGCCTGAAGAACCACTCCCTCAGTGTGGAGAGCTCCTACACCTCGGCGCTCATGGCTTATGTGTTCAGTTTGTCTGGAGACCTAGAGACTCGGGCTCAGCTGCTGCAGAGGCTGCAGTCCCAGGCCACTGAAGAAGGTAACTAACCTTGCCTGCAAGCTGAATTCTCGCGGTATTTGTGAGTTCACAAACACTCGAGAATACATCTTGTACCGCTCCCGCTTACACTTTTCGAGTCGAACCACTGGGTGTGCGAGCCAATCACGCGCCAGTCTGGGGGTTTAGGGCGGGATATCCGGGTTTGACGAAAGCAAGAAGTGCCGGGCCAAAGCAAAACAAACATGGCTACGCAGGAGGACGGACGCGTAGCTGAGGCTATCAAGTCAGTTTTAGCAGAATCTCCAATTTCTTTTTTGAAAGATGAACAGCGAGAGGCGCTTTGTGCATTTCTGGACGGCAACCTTGGTAGGCGGGCACACAGCGTCACTTCGCCCAATCAGCTTGAAGTATTCTGCTGCTTATCCCTCCTTTCCCCGAAAGGATTCTCCGGGAGAAATCCCAGATTGATATCGTGGAGAACGCGTTAGAGTTCTACACAATCATCAATCTGGCTCTTGCCAGGTTAGAAGGTAACACACACAGACACAGACGACTACAACTACTACTTACCTGCTGGGCCTGTACTGCGATTGTGTTGCAGGAGGCCTGGTGCACTGGTCCTCCTCTTCCTCCTCGGTGGCCGTGGAGACTTCCTCCTATGTGCTCCTCTCCACTCTCACCTTCTCCTCTCTGGGAGCGGAGGAGCTGGGATACGCCTCCAAGATTGTCCGCTGGCTTACGGGACAACAGAACAAATACGGAGGCTTCCAGTCCACACAGGTACGAGTGCAGCTGCTACTACTACTACTGCTACTACTCACACATAGTAGTAACTCATGTGTAATTCCCCTCAGGACACAGTGGTGGCGCTGCAGGCCCTTTCTCTGTACTCCACTCTGGTCTTCAGTCCAGATGGGTCCAGTTCAGTCCTGGTCCAGGATGAGACCAGGTCCACGTCTCTGTCCTTCTCTGTGGATCCCAGCAACAAGCTGCTGTACCAGGAGCAACCTCTGGGGGGCGCCACCGGAAAGTTCAGTGTGGAGGCCTCAGGGAGCGCCTGTGTCTCTGTGCAGGTGACTGGTCTCAAAGACAGCTCTAGAACCCACTCTCAAACACAGCTCTAGAACCCTTAAACACAGCTTTAAACCCCACTCTCAAACACAGCTCTAGAGCCCTTAAACACAGCTTTAGAACCCACTCTCAAACACAGCTCTAGAACCCACTCTCAAACACAGCTCTAGAACCCTTAAACACAGCTTTAAAACCCACTGTCAAACACAGCTCTAGAACCCTTAAACACAGCTCTAGAACCCACTCTCAAACACAGCTCTAGAACCCACTCTAAAAACACAGCTCTAGAACCCACTCTAAAAACACAGCTTTAGAACCCACTCTCAAACACAGCTCTAGAACCCTTAAACACAGCTTTAAAACCCACTGTCAAACACAGCTCTAGAACCCTTAAACACAGCTTTAAAACCCACTCTCAAACAAAGCTCTAGAACCCACTCTCAAACACAGCTCCAGAACCCTCTCAAACACAGCTCTAGAACCCTTAAACACAGCTCTAGAACCCACTAGAGTGGCTTGGGTTGGGAGTTCTTCAGTCCTGTACCGGACCTGTCCACATTCAAAGGCCACTGGTCCATGTTCTGTAGCTTAGGTCCTGGGTTTATAGCCCGTCCGTCCGTGGGATCGGATACCTTTCTCAAACTATGGGTCTCCCCGAGGTTTCTCACTTTTTTCCCACTGGAGTGGGTTTTTCCTTGCCGATTCAGGAGGGTCTGTTGGATAGTTAGTAACTAGAAGGACTGTGGTGATGATCCAGGACACTTTAACATTCTACAACATGTATGACATTTTTCAACATGTGTTCCATATTCTTCATGTGTTTTAACTGTTGATTCTCTGATCTGTGTTGGTGATTTCAATGGTTTTGTTAAGTCCTCTGAGATGACTTCTGTTGTGATTTAGGGCTATACAAGAATAAATTGTATTGTATTGTAATCTCAAACACAGCTCTAGAACCCACTCTCAAACACAGCTCTAGAACCCTCTCTCAAACACAGCTCTAGAACCCACTCTCAAGCACAGCTCTAGAGAGGAGGCCATCTTTACAGTTCTGAAACTATTACAAAACCCTATGGAGACTTTAGAGCCCACTCCAAATGCAGCTCTAGAGCTCTTTCTGTAATGAAGCTAAAGCAGAGGGTCAGTTTGGAAGACAGAAGAACAAAGATTACTGCAGCTCCACACTCTCCTCTAGAACCCACTCTTAAACGCAGCATCAGACCGAAATCTCATTCATGCAGCAACCCTCCTCCTCCCCGTCACTGCCTTGTCGGTCGGACCAGCCCTTTCACCCTCCTCCAGGCTCCCACCACCTAATCTTGACCTCATTTTTCGTACAGCAGGAACAAATAACAGGACATTGATGTTTTGTGCTGATGTTTCCTCAGATGTCCGTGTTCTACCACATCCCCCCGCCCCCTCAGCAGAACACTCTGTGGCTGAAGGCGGAGCGAGAGATGGACTGTGGATCCTCCGTGCTCAAGCTGCAGCTGCACACTCAGTAAGAACCAGAATCTGTGTTCAAGTCCCTCTGTGTTCATGTCTCTGTGTTCAAGTCCCTCTGTGTTCATGTCTCTGTGTTCAAGTTCCTCTGTGTTCATGTCTCTGTGTTCAAGTCCCTCTGTGTTCATGTCTCTGTGTTCAAGTCCCTCTGTGTTCATGTCTCTGTGTTCAAGTCCCTCTGTGTTCATGTCTCTGTGTTCAAGTCCCTCTGTGTTCATGTCTCTGTGTTCAAGTCCCTCTGTGTTCATGTCTCTGTGTTCGTGTCTCTGTGTTCGTGTCTCTGTGTTCGTGTCTCTGTGTTCGTGTCTCTATGTTCGTGTCTCTGTGTTCGTGTCTCTGTGTTCGTGTCTCTGTGTTCGTGTCTCTGTGTTCATGTCTCTGTGTTCATGTCTCTGTTCATGTCTCTGTGCTCATGTCTCTGTGTTCATGTCCCTCTGTGTTCATGTCTCTGTGTTCATGTCTCTGTGTTCAGGTTCCTCTGTGCTCATGTCTCTGTGTTCATGTCTCTGTGTTCATGTCTCTGTGTTCGTGTCTCTGTGTTCGTGTCTCTGTGCTCATGTCTCTGTGTTCAAGTCCCTTTGTGTTCATGTCTCTGTGTTCAAGTCCCTCTGTGTTCATGTCTCTGTGTCCAGGTTCCTCTGTGCTCATGTCTCTGTGTTCAAGTCCCTCTGTGTTCATGTCTCTGTGCTCATGTCTGTGTTCATGTCTCTGTGTTCATGTCTGTGTTCATGTCTCTGTGTTCAAGTCCCTCTGTGTTCATGTCTCTGTGTTCAGGTTCCTCTGCGCTCATGTCTCTGTGTTCAAGTCCCTCTGTGTTCATGTATCTGTGCTCATGTCTGTGTTCATGTCTCTGTGTTCATGTCTGTGTTCATGTCTCTGTGTTCATGTCTCTGTGTTAATGTCTCTGTGTTCAAGTCCCTCTGTGTTCATGTCTCTGTGTTCATGTCTCTGTGCTCATGTCTCTGTGTTCAAGTCCCTCTGTGTTCATGTCTCTATGTTCATGTCTCTGTGCTCATGTCTCTGTGTTCATGTCTCTGTGTTCATGTCTCTGTGTTCAGGTTCCTCTGTGCTCATGTCTCTGTGTTCATGTCTCTGTGTTTATGTCTCTGTGTTCGTGTCTCTGTGTTCGTGTCTCTGTGCTCATGTCGCTGTGTTCAAGTCCCTCTGTGTTCATGTCTCTGTGTTCAAGTCCCTCTGTGTTCATGTCTCTGTGTCCAGGTTCCTCTGTGCTCATGTCTCTGTGTTCAAGTCCCTCTGTGTTCATGTCTCTGTGTTCATGTCTGTGTTCATGTCTCTGTGTTCATGTCTCTGTGTTAATGTCTCTGTGTTCAAGTCCCTCTGTGTTCATGTCTCTGTGTTCAGGTTCCTCTGCGCTCATGTCTCTGTGTTCAAGTCCCTCTGTGTTCATGTCTCTGTGCTCATGTCTATGCTCATGTCTGTGTTCATGTCTCTGTGTTCATGTCTGTGTTCATGTCTCTGTTCATGTATCTGTGTTCAGGTTCCTTGGAGAAAACAACAGCTCAGACACAAACATGATGATCCTGGACGTGAAGCTGCTGTCGGGGTTTGTCCCAGAGAAGAAGTCTCTTGAAGATGTAAGTGTGTGTGTGTGTGCGTGTGTGTGTGCGTGTTTTACTTTGTGTGTCTGCTTTGTCTCAGTTACAGTTTGTAAAGCGTGTGGACCGTGTGGAGCACAACAACGACCACGTCCTTGTCTACATCCGCGAGGTCAGTTCTGTCCTGCTTTAGACCTGCTTTAGACCTGCTTTAGACCTGCTTTTGTCCTCCTTTAGACCTGCTTTAGTCCAGCTTTGATCCTGCTTTAGACCTGCTTTAGACCTACTTTAGACCTGCTTTAGTCCAGCTTTTGTCCTACTTTAGACCTGCTTTAGTCCAGCTTCACACCTTGTTTAGTTCTGCTTTAGACCTGCTTTAGTCCTGCTTTAGTCCTGCTTTAGTCCTGCTTTAGTCCTGCTTTAGACCTGCTTTAGTCCAGCTTTTGTCCTGCTTTAGACCTGCTTTAGTCCTGCTTTAAACCTGCTTTAGTCCTGGTTTAGACCTGCTTTAGTCCTGCTTTAGTCCTGCTTTAGTCCTGCTTTAGTCCTGCTTTAGTCCTGCTTTAGTCCTGCTTTAGACTTGCTTTAGATTTGCTTTAGTCCTACTTTAGTCCGGCTTTAGACCTGCTTTAGACCTGCTTTAGACCTGCTTTAGTCCTGCTTTAGACCTGCACTAGACCTGCTTTAGACCCGCTTTAGTCCTGCTTTAGTCCTGCTTTAGTCCTGCTTTAGTCCTGCTTTAGTCCTGCTTTAGACCTGCTTTAGTCCTGCTTTAGTCCTGCTTTAAACCTGCTTTAGTCCTGGTTTAGACCTGCTTTAGTCCTGCTTTAGTCCTGCTTTAGTCCTGCTTTAGTCCTGCTTTAGTCCTGCTTTAGTCCTGCTTTAGTCCTGCTTTAGTCCTGCTTTAGACCTGCTTTAGACCTGTACTAGACCTGCCATAGTCCTGCTTTAGACTTGCTTTAGATTTGCTTTAGTCCTACTTTAGTCCGGCTTTAGACCTGCTTTAGACCTGCTTTAGTCCTGCTTTAGACCTGCACTAGACCTGCTTTAGACCCGCTTTAGTCCTGCTTTAGACCTGCTTTAGACCTGCTTTAGACCTGCTTTAGACCTGTTTGACTCCGCAGCTGCTGAAGGATGAGAGAGCCGCCTTCCCTCTGACTCTGGTCCAGGAGACTCCAGTCCAGAACCTCAAAGCTGCTGTGGTCCGACTCTATGACTACTACCAGCCAAGTACTTCACACTGCAGTACTCTCAATACACTGATACTTACGACCACAGTAGCAATAGTAATCTGGTACTTCTGTTGTTCCAGGTGACCAGGCAGAGACAGAGTACACATCACCATGTGGAGCACCCACTAACGACTGAGAGGGAGACCAGGAAGAGACACGGACACTCAAGGAGGACAGGAGAACTCATTTTGCACTGTCTCTGTCTATTAAACACTATCAGATTATTTATTCTGTCATCTCATGCTTTAGGTAGAGGCCAGAGAGAGACCAAAGAGAGAGAGAGACCAAAGAGAGAGAGAGACCAAAGAGAGAGAGACCAGAGAGAGAGAGAGACCAGAGAGAGATGCAAGAGAGACCAAAGAGAGAGAGAGACCAGAGAGACCAAAGAGAGAGAGACCAAAGAGAGAGAGACCAAAGAGGGAGAGAGACCAGAGAGACCGACCATAGAGAGGCCAGAAAGAGACCAGAGAGAGAAGCCAGAGAGACCAGAGAGGGACCTTTCTTGCTTCTCTGTTACAAATATATTCTAAAGGAAAACGTGACAACAAAAGTCGTTAAAGTCAGTTTAATTATTGGATCAGCACAAATATAGCGCTCTGATTGGCTGCGCTACGATTCATACAAAAGACATTCCTTACATTCTGTCGTAACACAAATCTTTGGAAACACATGGAGCTAAACTACTGAAGAGAGAGAGAGAACACAGAGAGAGAGGGAGATTGGAGGGAGAGAGACCACAGAGAGAGAGGGAAAGAGAGACATGGAGCTAAACTACTGTAGAAAAACCTGCTGGATCCACTTATTGCATTTGTCTGTGCTCTGAAGTAGCTCTAAGCACTTACTGTTGTTACTGTTTCAGATTCACCCTGTTCTCCCTTTTTATTTACAAAACAGAGACTAGAGATAGAGAAGAAGGAGAGACCAGAGAGAGAGAGAGAGAGAGAGACCACAGAGAAGAAGGAGAGGCCAGAGAGAGAACACATTATTTACAAAAGGGTGAGTTTTGAACAGAACTGGGCCTGGACACATTCACGACGTCACGTTAAGACTTTGGAACATTTAGATTTAACAGTTAGAGTTTTAAAATCCTTGGTTCGACTCATGGCTTCAGTCCCACTTCCTCCGTGGCTTTTTTAGAAGTGCAAAGTCGAGATCAACCAGGGGCGAAGGCTCAGACCTCTACAGATAAGTATTAATACATATTATTAATAATCCTGATTATTAACTTTACTCCATCCATCCATCCATTTTCTACCCTTTAATCCATTTCTGGGTCACCCAAGTCTCATAGCAGCAGCCCCTCACTGACCCTCTGCAGGTGGTGAGTCCACAGGAGGACGGCTGCTCTCTGAGTGTGAGCATAGCCTTGATCTTTCAGTGGGGGCTTTGGGCAAAGTGGGGTTAAGTGTCTTGCCCAAGGACACAACGACAGCAGTCATCAGTGGGAGTCGATGGAGAAGGTCCACCGACTCCACCGATTAACTTTACTATTAGACCTTAACCATTTGATATTATTGATATTGTTGCATTGACACCAGTTTTATCTTATTAACAGAACTTTATAACAGTCTTTCCTTTCGCCCCTGGGTCTCAAACAGTTATTTTAACAGTGCAGCAGCCAAACACCTGTTCCACATGGTGCAGTGACATCACACGGGACCAGGTTCACCTCTGGACCAGGTTCACCTCTGGACCAGGTTCACCTCTGGACCAGGACCAGGTTCACCTCTGGACCAGGACCAGGTTCACCTCTGGACCAGGACCAGGTTCACCTCTGGACCAGGACCAGGTTCACCTCTGGACCAGGACCAGGTTCACCTCTGGACCAGGACCAGGTTCACCTCTGGACCAGGACCAGGTTCACCTCTGGACCAGGACCAGGTTCACCTCTGGACCAGGACCAGGTTCACATACTAAAGTACACCAGTTTGAGCTAAAATCTTGGCATTTCGTCCCTGGTTATAAATCCCTGGTTTTAAATGGAAGTTATTCAGTGATACTGCTCTGGGACGAAATGAAACGAAGCTGTTATCAGTGTGAACAGAGCACTTTAATGATTTGCACTTGTTTTGAACTGTTTTAGTCGATCGATTTCACAGTGACTTTTGTTTACTGTTTTATTTGGTTTATTTTTGTCTTTTAATGTTGTTTTATGTCTGTATTTGTCTGTGCACACTGGAGACTTTTCGCTAATGTATTCCAATGTGGTTTTTTTTACTGCAAATGGCAAATAAACTGAATCTGAATCTGAATCATCTGAAATACCAAGATTCTGAAAGCATCCCGTTGCTCTCTGTGTTTGGTTGGAATCACACACGCACAATAGAAAACTTTAACACTAGAACTCCCAGTGCAGACATTTTGACTGCTGCCATTTGAACCTATAGAAATCCCCCAAAAACCATTTTTGTTAAAAGTTAGTCATTTATAAGTTTTTTCCCTTTTATCACTTTTTAAAAGTGCTCAAACTGGTGAATATTAATAAAAAATGCTCACTACTAACAGTAAACAATGTGTTGCTATGGTAACTAGAACTGGCTCTTCTATGGTAGACCACCAGAACCTGAACTAGTCCAGGACCAAAGTGAAAAAGTGTGAAGACCACAGAGGTACACACTCTGAGTAATAACAAAGCTAAGAGCAGTCAGATTGACTGCTTTGGGAGTTCTGGTGTAAACTGGTGAAATGTCATTCGTGTCAGGTGAACACTGCGGACACTAACAGTCAGAAAACAGCCTCAGCGCTAACATTATTACTATTAACATTATTACTATTCATATTATTATTCATATTATTGCACAAGTATAATACAGGATATACACAGGAGCCGGGGGGAGACTCCAGATACAGCAGGGTTCTGAGAGATATTTCCTAACTATATATAAATGGTGAGACCAGAGAGAGACCAGCTCTCAGCCGAAAGAGTCAATTAGTGACTCACAGAGCTCTTTCTTAGTAACATGTTGTGGTCTGATTTGTTATTGGACCAAGAACATAAGTTACTTATGAGACTAAAGTTACGTCCCCCAGCTTTAAAATGAACCAATATATACATGTCTTTAAACTCGTTCTTAATAGGAAAATATCGGTCAGAACCATCTGCACCAGTGAAGCGTCCAAACATAAAGTGCTGCTGCTTTTAAATCCATGGACACAAAATGCTAACAATAAAACCCAGGAGAAGGCCGTACACATGGTCAGAATAGCCGCTGGGTTTGGGGGCTGAGCAGGTGCAGACTGTGACCTGCAGGAGGCGCTCTCTCACATTATAGCAGTTTGTTAATTGTTTTTATCCTCTGCGCAGCGCCCTGAGCTCAGAGGCCACTTTCCGCAGCTGAGACTCGATGTCCAGCAGCTCCTGAAACACAAACAGACAATACTTCAAAATACAAGTAAAATACAAAAAATACAACTCTCAATAATGGTTGTGAAGAAAGAAATGGTCTCTCTCTGGTCTCTCTCTGGTCTCTCTCTGGTCTCTCTCTGGTCTCTCTCTGGTCTCTCTCTGGTCTCTCTCTGGTCTCTCTCTAGTCTCTCTCTAGTCTTTCTCTGGTCTGTCTCTGGTCTCTCTCTAGTCTTTCTCTGGTCTGTCTCTCTGGTCTCTCTCTAGTCTTTCTCTGGTCTCTCTCTCTGTTCTCACTCTCTGGTCTCACTCTAGTCTCTCTCTGGTGTCTCTCTGGTCTCACTCTGATCTCTTTCTAGCCTCTTTATGGTCTCTTTAAAGTCTCTTTCTGGTTCCTCCATAATCAATGACTGAGAATGTAAAACCAGTCCTCACCTCTCCTTCATCCTGCTCCTCCTTCTCCTCCTCCTCCTCGTGTCGCTCCTCCTTCTCTCTTTCAAACTGTCTGGTAGCTTCGTCGCTGGCCTTCTCCATCTCCCTCTTCTGCTCCGTCTTTTCGGCTGATGGTGCCTCGGTCTCACTCTGCTCCACTCTGAAAATGAAACTCACACTTTACTTCAGTTTCAACCACTCTGCAGACATCGAACCAAAACACTGCAAACCGGGAGAAGGAGATGGACTGGGAGATGGACTGGGAGATGGACTGGGAGATGGACTGGGAGATGGACTGGGATAGGGGCCTTGAGCGGGAGAGGGACCGTGAGCGGAACCGGTAGAGGGAGAGGGGAAACTCCTTCAGAATTATGTAATACATTCAAACCCTGCTCTACTCTGCTCCACTCTTTGATTTGAACATGCTAATGCTAACACAGCGGTCACTCACCGGTGGCTCTGAGTCTGAGTCTCGGTGCTGGGAGTGCTGCTGTCCTCACTCCTCTTCTGGTCCCCGGGCTCCTCACTGGTCCTCAGCTCCTCCTCTGGTGCCTCTGCCGTGGGTGTGCTCTGGACCTCCTTCTCCTCCTCCTTCTCCACAAGCTTCTCCACCTGCTGCCTCCTGCCCTGCTCCTCGTCCTGTGGAAACAGCTCAGACCATCAGAGAGAGAACAGAGACACCAGGGAGGGGACCAAAAAGAGAGACTATGAAGACCAGAGAGAGACCAGATGACAAATCCCAACTTGTCATTGCAACTTTTGGAAAAAGGTCTCGCAAAATCATGCATTTTAGCAACAATCACAATAATGTCCCGCGAGATCCTGGAGGGACTGGTTAAGGCTAGCGCTGTGGTGATGTCACACTTCTCATTGTCGCTCTATGGTTTGTCTCTGGTTAGAACGATGGTCACGAACCTCTGTCTCTGAGTTCTTCTTCTGCGCCTCCTTCATGAGCTCGTGGACCTCTTCATCCTCCTCAGTCTGCTCTGTCACCTCCTCTTCATCCTGAGCCTCTCCTTCCTCCTCCTCGGCTCTCCCTCCTTCCTCCTCCTCCTCTTCCTCGTCTCTCTCTCCTTCCTCCTCGTCGTCTCTCTCTCCTTCCTCTTCGTCGTCTCTCTCGCCAAACTCCTCCTCCTCGTCTTCGTCCTCTCTGTTGTATCCCTCGTCTTCTTCGTCCTCGTAGCCCTCGTCTTCATCATCTCGCTCTCGCTTTGTCTCTACAACAGAAATTCACTTATCAACTGTTCTGAAGAAAGAAATAAGGGTCATCTTTATTTGAGAAGATATTTTTAAACATTACCTGTACTATTCCTTAAGTTAATATTTAGAAGATTATTAGTGCAGGTACAAGCACATCGTCTACTTTAAATATTTTAATATTTGGGTCAGTTTTAATCCTCAATGGTTCTTTTGACCCAGCATTATTAGGGTTACTTATGAGACTTACGTACCCCAGCTTTAAACACTGGTGTGATGCTATTTGAGTGTGTGTGAGTTTGTACCGTGCTCCGCCAGCTCCTGCAGCTCCTGAAGAAGACCATGGTGTCTCTGGATCTCCTGTAGCTCTTCTGAGGAACCAGGAAGAGGAGAGGATCAGAGAGAGACCAGGGAGGGACCAGAGAGAGACCAGAGAGAGACTAAAAATCACAGAGTATGTCCAGCTTAGAGCTGTTTCCTGTTTCTCAGTCACCTGCAAGCTGTGGTACACACTCGTCCTGTGCATCGTCTCCACTCAGAGTCTGCTGGATGATACACTCCACCTACACACACACACACACACACAAAATAGTAATACAAAATAATCAGTAAATATGCTTCTTAACCTTTCAATACAAACAAAACTAAATATTGAATCCCTTCAAAATAAGACTTCTCTGTCAATATCACTATATTTGCATTATGAAATAACATTGAAAATAAGCATTAGCCCATATCTCATACACGTTAGCATTAGCCAATACCTTATACACATTAGCATTAGCCCCTAACCCAAACACATATCGGCCGATATTGTGTTGTTCAGGTAAACCTGTCACTTGCATTTTTAATATAACAAAAGGATCTGACCTTAGCTTCTTTGAGTGAGGAAGAAGAGAGTGGCCGGCAGCTCACTGAGGAAGAGCACAGTCTGTTAGAGTAGTGCCTTATGAGACACAACAGAGGACACACTGTAGACCTGCTCAGTCTGTCAGTGTGAGACACAACAGAGGACACACTGTAGACCGGCTCAGTCTGTCAGTGTGAGACACAACAGAGGACACACTGTAGACCGGCTCAGTCTGTGAGTATAGAGCTTCAGGGTGCTTTGATCTCATTCAAGTTTTTGGGATTTCTGAAGACAATAATAACTTCATATTATTAATAAATTATGATTTTCCCATTATATGTTGAACCATTTGAAGGAGGCAACAATAAGGTCCAGGTTTTCAGGTTCTAAGTTTTGCCTCAGACCAGAGCGAGAGACTGGTCTGTCTCTGGTTTCTCTCTACAGTCCCTCTGCTCTGATCTTTCTCACTAGTCTCTGGTCTCTCTCTCTGGTCTCTCTGGGTCCAGGTCTCGGTCTCTTCCTCTTGTGGCTTTAGAAGTGTTAAAGCTGCACTAACTGACTTTATTTTTGTATTCATTACGAAAATGCTATCCATGTCCATGTAGTGCATTGGGATATACGTCCTTTTGAAGAATAATTAGCGCAGATTTGGGCTGGCGTGACATTATATTTTAGATCGAGTTTGGATGAAACAAGGAAGAGAATGTGTTTCGGGTCGCAGATTGTGACCAATCACAGCGGACCGCTGGCCCCCACTTTCGTGAGAAATCTGCAGGTCTGTTAGCATAGACAGCTGAGTTAGCACAACAAGCCGAGGAGCTAACCTGAAGCTTCGTCACCGGTTACTGCTTACTTAGCGAAACAGCCATCCAAAAGAAAGTCTCGTTCCTCCGCGCTTCCCGGTTCTATCGTTCTATGGTCACGCCATCCACGTGCAAATCCATATTGGGAGACACTAGCTCCGTCTCAACAACAGTGGGTGTGTGTGGGGGCGATAGCTTCGTGGGTGCAGGGAGGGGAGCAGAAAGAGAGAGGCCAGCGAGTCCACGGCTTCAAAATCCCAAAGTCAGTTAGTGCAGCTTTAAGTTAAACCTGTCAAGAGGATTATCCTGCTCTTCAGCTGAGGAGACGTCTGAGGTCAGGGACAGAGAGAGAGACCAGAGAGCAATCACCATCACTTCGCTCTCACTCCAAGAGTCAAATAGTGACTCGCAGGGCTCGGTCTTACACAGAACATGTTTATCATGAGAAAACATCTGTAAGTTGGAAATGACTGCATCTACTCCTGACAATGATCCACAACACTGTAATTTTTTACTGTGGTCTTATGTTTTGGCTCCGAGAATGTGACATCACAATCTATTATTACTGTCCTAATGACTGTTGTCTTCAGACCAATGAGGACTTCTGTTGAAAAAATGTTCAGTGTGTATGTGTGAGAACAGTGCTTTATGATAATAAATGGTTATAGTGATTACACAGACATGTCTCAGTGTCATCCAGCCAACTCCAGCTCCATCAAGCTTCAAACAGCAGATACAGATGTTGGCTGAACCAGAGGGACTGTTTCCACATGGTTTGGACCTAGGTTAGAGTCTCAGGCTTGTGTCACCACTGAACCCCCATACACACACACACAGCTCCAGGTCTCAGTAACAGGATGAGGAACACGTGTGACACCAAAGCTGACTTTGAGCTTTAGAATGTGACATCACAACATTCTCATCTCATTAGAAAAATGTTTACCTTTTTGTTTAAGAAAGAGCTATGTGAATCACTATTTGACTCTTTGGGCTGAGAGCTGGTTCTTCTAACGCTGGTCTTTCTGGGGTCATTTATTCTACAGAGTTCTGTTGTTCTGAAAGTTACAAACCCCAGCTTTAAACTGACCCAGTGTTTGGAGGTGTCTATTCCACAACAGTGTGACCTGGTTACTTCAGACACCAGCATCAGCACCAGTCAGATGGAGCCCATAGATCCATGGACGGAGCACGGAGCCCGGTGTGCACGCGCACCTGTCCTCGGATGCGCGCTTACATAACCCAGTTTAGCCACTTAATCCTCTGCTTCTAACACACAACATTGTTCCATCTATACACCGAGAAAACGGCCTTAAAATACACACACACACACAACACAGAGAGAGACCAGAGTCACACACAGAGACACACATTCTCACAGAGAGAGACACACACAAGGAGAAGGACACACAAACGCAGAGACACATACACAGAGAGAGAACACACACACATAGACAGACAGACACACACACTTACCCTCCATTGCCGCCAGCAGCAGCAGTACACTCGCGGTCCTCATATTCACAGATCTGCTGCGTAACCTTGAGGAGAGCGGAATATGAGCTGCGCGGGCACGAGGAGGAGGGAGACGCGTGCATGTGAAGCAGCGCGCGTGCCCGAGCTGTGTCACGTGTCTGAGGACAGGTGGAGCTCACTGTAAAAGCTGCGGTACCATAGTCTCATCAACACATAGTCTCTCCAACGTAAAACGCATGAGAGACCTCCTGACTCTTTCTCTCTGGTCTCTCACAGAGGCCAGCAGGATTATTGCAACAACACATCATCAGTAGGGTAAAACTAACCTGTCTCACGACAGTTTAACCCCTGGTCACTCTCTGGTCTCTCGCTCTCGGGTCTTGGTCCAAATGCTCAAAAACATGTGTGAATCAAGATGGACACAGCAGAAGAACACAACAATAATAACACTGAGACACGGATCATGAAAGTTTATTTAACCCCTGTCTCTTCACAGTAAATATCACTGAGAAAAACATTCAATATGAGTCTGGTCGGTGCAACAAAAGTCTAACAGAAGACGATAAGACAATAGAGACAAGACCAGCAGGGGACAGGGCTCTCCATGGTCTCTGGTCTCATCTCTCCTTAGTCCCTCCTGGTCTCTCTGGTACTTGTGTAGCTGGTCTCATCTGTCTCTGGTAATTGTGTTGCTGGTCCCTGGCCTCTGGTACTTGTGTTGTTGGTTTGGCCCGATGTACTTGAGTGGTCCGTACGTCGGCTTCTCTATGCGTTCTGCTCCAAAATACGGCTGCAAAGCTTTAGGCACAAGCACCGCCCCCTCCTGGACAAGAGAGGAAGGTCTCTCACACACACACATACAGAGAGGAAGACAAACACACACACACACACACACAAGATAGGAAGGTCAGACACACACATACAGACCCGCACACACACACATACAGAGAGGCACACATGGAGGTCACACACACACACAGACAGAGGGAGTGAGACGCACACATACAGAGGCACACATACACACAACAGAGAGGAAGGCAAACACACACACATACACACACAGGAAGGTCAGACACACACACAGACAGAGGGAGTGAGACACACACACACAGAGACGCACACACTCGCACACAGAGACACACTCACTCTGGTCTGGTGAGTCTCCAGGAGAGAGATGATCATTCGGGGGATGGCACAGGCTGTGGCGTTCACCTGGAGACATAACAAACCACAACATTAGTAAAACCAATAGGGTCTCTCTCTGCTCGCTCTCTGCTCTCGTACCGTGTGAGCATATCTCAGAAATCCGTTCTCTTTCTCATACAGGATGTTCAGGCGACGGCTCTGGTAGTCTGTGCAGTTCGAGCCGCTGGAAATCTGCAACAAGAGGGTCTCTGCCTCAGTCTCTGCCTCAGTCTCTGCCTCAGTCTCTGCCTCAGTCTCTGCCTCAGTCTCTGCCTCAGTCTCTGCCTCAGTCTCTGCCTCAGTCTCTGCCTCAGTCTCTGCCTCAGTCTCTGCCTCAGTCTCTGCCTCAGTCTCTGCCTCAGTCTCTGCCTCAGTCTCTGCCTCAGTCTCTGCCTCAGTCTCTGCCTCAGTCTCTGCCTCAGTCTCTGCCTCAGTCTCTGCCTCAGTCTCTGCCTCAGTCTCTGCCTCAGTCTCTGCCTCAGTCTCTGCCTCAGTCTCTGCCTCAGTCTCTGCCTCAGTCTCTGCCTCAGTCTCTGCCTCAGTCTCTGCCTCAGTCTCTGCCTCAGTCTCTGCCTCAGTCTCTGCCTCAGTCTCTGCCTCAGTCTCTGCCTCAGTCTCTGCCTCAGTCTCTGCCTCAGTCTCTGCCTCAGTCTCTGCCTCAGTCTCACCTCTCCGTAGCTGTCTCGTCCTGGCATCCAGGCCTCAATGTCGAACTTCCTGTAGGCAGGAGCCCCCAGCTCCTGTGTGGGCATGTCCAGCACTCTGATCACAAACACATGGACTTATAAACCATTACTGGGCCTCTAACTCGCCTTGTGACGGAGACGTTCTGCAAACACTTGCCTCTCTGGTCTCTCTCCCTCTGCTCTCTCTTTCTGGTATCTCTCACTCAATCTACTCTTTCTCTGGTCCCTCTCCTTCTCTGCTCTCTCTCTCTGAGCTCTCTCTCTCTGGGCTCTCTCTCTCTGGGCTCTCTCTCTCTCTGGCTTCTCTTTCTGTCTGGCCTCTCTCTGGTGTCTCTCTCTCTCTTCCTGGCCTCTCTCTCTGGTCTCTCTCTCTGCTTGCTCTCTCTTTCCCTCTGGTCTCTCTCTCTCCCTGGTCAGAGTTTTACCTGAAGTGCAGCTCCAGCTCAGAGAACAGCTCTTTCTGCAGACTCACAAACTCGTCTAACATTTCTGCGCTCTCCTGTCCCGTCTCATCCGCCGTCACTGCAAACATCTCCACCTGAAACACAGACCCTTGTGTTAGCGCTGAGACTACTACACAACCATTAAGCACCAGGTGAAATTTAGAGAACATTAGGAGACATCACCCACTTATGAACAATGGGCCTCATTCACGAACGGTTCTTAGGAACAGATTTGTACGTAAATCCTACTTACGCGGTTTTTACGAAGAAAGTGGCATTCACGAATATTTCTCGTAACCAGAATTTCTCTTGGGCAAGTACAAATCCTACGAGTCCTCAGGAGCACTCGTACGCATTCAGTGCCGACATGTTCACACGCCGGGGTTGTCCTCTTTGGTGAAGTTGAATAAAAATACAACATTCCAGTGATATGTCCGTCATATCGATGTATGTATTTATTTATTTGTAGTAATCTTTATTAGTAATCTTTATTTATATACCGCCTTTTTCACTGCAGATCTGGCCTACTTTTTAATTCATTTTGAAATGAAATGTGCCAACGCTTTATGAAATACATTGGAAATCTTGCCGTGTATTAGTGACCCCTTCCTATTTATAGGGGGCATTTCTTTATCCACGGGCCACAGAACAACGGCATATATACTGCTGCTGCAGGAGGTTACTGGGTCCGCGCTGAGTCTCTGCGCTGGTCTCTCCTATGGATCTATACGGGTCTGCACTGGTCTCTCCCATGGATCTATACGGGTCTGCACTGGTCTCTCCCATATACGGGTCTGCACTAGTCTCTCCCATGGATCTATACTGGTCTGCACTGGTCTCTCCATACGGATCCGCGCTGGTCTCTCAAGTCTGGTCTATGCGGTCTCTCTTCGGTCCGCGCTGGTCTCTGCGCACCGGTCTCTCCAGTCAGGTCACTCCAGTCTATGCGGTCTCTCCTGTCCGCGCTGGTTTCTGTGTGCTGGTCACTCCAGTCTCTCCTCGGGTCTGCATTGGTCTCAGCGCTGGTCCGCGCTGGATCTCCTCCCAGGGTCCAAAATATTTTGAGATTAATCTCAAAACATTTTGAGATTCATCTTTAAAATAATACATAATATATTTTTAAATTAAGCTCATAACATTTTGAGATTAATCTCATCATATTCTTAGATTAATCTCATAATTTTGCTAGTTCGACTTTATTATCATAATATTTTGACTTTTAAGTCAACATTTTATAACTTTATTCTCAGTCTGGTAAAAGAAGAAAAAAGGGTGACTTTTGCTCCGTGTAAAGGCCTGTTGCTGTTTCCTCTGCCGTCTGCACACGGCCCTGCAGTCCCTTATATGGGCATTAGTGGGCGGTTACTTATGCTAAGTACCTATGCTAATGAAGCACCTGGCACGCGCGCTCTACTTACGAGGAAATGGGATTCATCAATCTGAGAGAACAGCTGCGAACAATTCAGCGGCTTACGAGTGCGTTGATGAATCCCACGTGGGGACTTCTTAGAAATCTACTTAAGGACAACTTGAGAAGAAAGTTGAGTAGTTTCTTACGAAGTTATTCGTGAATGAGGCCCAATGTGAGTCCCAGTACTGACCCTTGAGGAACCCCACAAGTTAGGTCCCGACAACTTGGTCTCTGTTCAGTACAATATTTTTTCACTAAAAAGCTCTCTGGTCCCCGCTCTCTCTGGTCCCCGCTCTCTCTGGTCCCCGCTCTCTCTGGTCCCCGCTCTCTCTGGTCCCCGCTCTCTCTGGTCCCCGCTCTCCCTGGTCCCCGCTCTCTCTGGTCCCCGCTCTCCCTGCTCGCCGCTCTCCGCTCTCCCTGCTCGCCGCTCTCCCTGCTCGCCGCTCTCCCTGCTCGCCGCTCTCCCTGCTCGCCGCTCTCCCTGCTCGCCGCTCTCCCCTGCTCGCCGCTCTCCCTGCTCGCCGCTCTCCCTGCTCGCCGCTCTCCCTGCTCGCCGCTCTCCCTGCTCGCCGCTCTCCCTGCTCGCCGCTCTCCCTGCTCGCCGCTCTCCCTGCTCGCCGCTCTCCCTGCTCGCCGCTCTCCCTGCTCGCCGCTCTCCCTGCTCGCCGCTCTCCCTGCTCGCCGCTCTCCCTGGTCCCCGCTCTCCCTGGTCCCCGCTCTCTCTGGTCCCCGCTCTCTCTGGTCCCCGCTCTCCCTGGTCCCCGCTCTCCCTGGTCCCCGCTCTCCCTGGTCCCCGCTCTCCCTGGTCGCCGCTCTCCCTGGTACCTTGTTGAAGTGGTGGACACGGTACAGGCCCCATGTTTCTCGTCCTGTGTCGGTCTCAGCTCTGTAACATGTACTGCTGCACACAGACCTGCAGGGGGAGACAAAGGCATCAGAGTGTGTGTGTCTGTAACATGCAGTGTAAAAATAAACAAAACGGTTGATGTGGCGGTGTATCCATTCCATGGATTTATTATAATAACTGGATAGAGTATTACTAGCTTGGAGCTGAGGAACCCATGTGCTCGGGGGATTCTCGCGGTACTGCAGACTGAACCAGACTAAATTCATGTGGACTACCCAGAAAAAAAGTCCCATAGATCTCAATGTAAACTAAAACAACTCAACCTCAGCTGACAGAGAAGCTACAGCTTTCATAAAGGTCGGATTTTGTGTGGATTTTAGTGTCCCTTGTCATCCTGAACTTTTTTTCTTCTTAAATCCTTCGGTTTTGTTTAAATCCACACTTTAGTGCCACAAACTCTGCTTTCTGGCTCTCGCTCTAACTCCCGCTCTGATGAACTGCTCTGATTGGTCAGAGCGCGGCCGAGCCCCTCTGTGCACGTGCGTGAGACCCGGTGTGAGACCCACACACGCGTGTTTGGCGCAACACATTATGGGAGATCATCCACTGCGCAGAACCGGGAGGACCAGACGATGCCCAAATACAGGCGAGTTTCCCATAGATCTTTGCGAGTTCCAGGCGACTTCCGCTAATCTTTCAGGCCCCCATGCTGTCACAAAGCGCCACTGAGCACAACCATTCATTTGAATAGGGCGCCATCTTGGATCGCCGGGGCTTGATCCATACAGTCTATGTTAGCATTGTCCATCTGTATACAGCAGGGGTCTCCAACCTGTGGCTTGGGAGCTACCAGATGCTCGCCACACCTTTTCAAATAGCTCCCCAAAGGATTTAGACCAGGGGTGCCCAAAGTGGGGCCCGCGGGTCAACGTTGGCCTGCCAGACCATTTCAGTTGGCCCGCCGGACTTTTCCCGCTCCTATAGGGGGATTCTATCTGCGTCCCTCAGGCTGGCTGGACACGCAGACATGTGTCTGCGGTCGCGCGGGCAAGCCCAGACGTCTGAACTGCCGCTTATACTTTACTGTTGTATCGAAATACACGCCTCACTCATGGTTCACATCAACTTTTACAAAGAGGTTTTTTGAGCAATTTTAAGTTTTATCAATTTGAGAGGATCTCCCATGGAGCCTTTTGGGCTTGTAGGAAAGTATAGGAAAGCTAATCAGAGAAGTGCGCCCCTAGTGTTAGGTTTTTATTTTGCATATTGAAGTACTTGAGCACGTAGCTATTGCCAGAGCAACACGCAGCCGCATGCCATTCCTTTTGTTGCCTGTGTCAGTGTGCGTTAATGTCCAGAAAGTACCATGTGTGATTTGTTGATATATATATGTGCAGCTTTAGCCATATAGACTTTACTCGTGTTTTCTTGAGTCTCAGTTTATCCTTTGTGATGTGATGTACCTACATTTAGTTTTCTAATGTGAAATGTTTGGTTTTGCTGCTAATTTATAGTTCAAAGTTCATTCTATTGCTAGTTTATTATTAGTTACGTGACGTCTATGTGCATCTGACAATCTGCTCCAATTTTTTTAATATTGAATTATAGACCCAATTTATAGCCGGTTATATATATTTGATTATAACAGAAATCTCCCTCCTCTGGACCCTGATTCTCTGACCGGAATCTTTCCGTACTGTAGTCTCCTCAAACCTGCATAACTCTATTTTAAATTTTAATTTATTCTTTAGAAGTGTTTTTTATTCTTATTTATTATCTCTTTTTGACTGTTGCACTGAGCCAAAGCAATTTCCTAGTCTGTGACCTCCTGTTACTTACGTGGCAATAAAAATTATTCTGATTCTGATTCTGATATTTCCCAGGAGCCTCCACTTCACTGAGACTGTGTTGTTTTCATTCATTCATCTGTGATTTGCACTGATAGACAATAATTAATGCATTTAATCATTCAACAAAAATTAAAGGAACTTGATCAAATTCACATTTATTTATGTTTCACGCATAATATCGGTGTATTTGGCCCGCGGCCCACTGGAACATTTTTACTTTGGCCCTTGGAGGCAAAAGGTTTGGGGACCCCTGATTTAGACATTTCAAAGAATCCTTGAATATTTCGTACGCACCGCACGGGCAGGTCACTACTCCTCACGGCGTGGTCCATGAAGAAACCTGCACACACACACACACACACACACACACACGCACACATGACATATACACTAGGCTCTGATCTGCAATATTGTTAGCATGTGTGTGTTTTGTGTACCTGCGATGCCCACCTCTCCGGTCCCGGCCAGGTTCAGGTCTGGACTCCGACTCGGGTCCAGAGCGTAAACCTGAGAGCGGTGAGCGTGAGGCTGCATCCCACAGCCCTCCTGCAACACAACAACACACACCACAACACATCAGCCCTCCTGCAACACAACAACACACACCACAACACATCAGCCCTCCTGCAACACAACGACACACACCACAACACATCAGCCCTCCTGCAACACAACGACACACACCACAACACATCAGCCCTCCTGCAACACAACGACACACACCACAACACATCAGCCCTCTTGCAACACAACAACACACACCACAACACATCAGCCCTCCTGCAACATAACGACACACACCACAACACATCAGCCCTCTTGCAACACAACAACACACACCACAACACATCAGCCCTCCTGCAACACAACGACACACACCACAACACATCAGCCCTCCTGCAACACAACGACACACACCACAACACATCAGCCCTCCTGCAACACAACGACACACACCACAACACATCAGCCCTCTTGCAACACAACAACACACACCACAACACATCAGCCCTCTTGCAACACAACAACACACACCACAACACATCAGCCCTCTTGCAACACAACGACACACACCACAACACATTAGCCCTCCTGCACAACGACACCTGATGTGAAATGCGTCTGGAATTGACTGCTTCTGTCTGTGTGTGTCTTTCCCTGTATGTGTGTGTGTGTGTGTGTCTTGTAACAACAAACAGGACACAAACTAAAAAAACAGTTGAAGGGGTTGGACGAAGTGGACGCTGGTTTGGTTTCTCACACTCCACATTACAAGAGACAGAAGCCTTCAGTTATAAACATTTTAAATAAACAGAAGTTAAAAGAGACTTACGAACACCGCCCCCTTCAGGATGTCAGGAACAGTGAGAGGGATGAAGCCCTGGGGGGTCACACACGCATCAGGCACAGGACAGAGGAGAGTTGTAGTAGTAGTAGTAGTTTTACCTTATGGAGCAGTTTGTCCAGAGTGAAGTTTTGCAGCGCCACCTGCAGTCTGGTTCCAGCTCCGCGCAGATAATACGACCTGTGACCTGAGATATGAGAGAGGTGTCTGGGGAGAGGGAAGACACAGCTGAGAGTGGTGTCTGGGGAGGGGGAAGACACAGCTGAGAGAGGCTGGGTATACTGTAGGTAGCAGTAGTAGCAGTGGTAGCAGTAGCAGTACTAGTGTCAGTACTCTCACCTCTGTCGGATCAGTCCCAGATTCTCCCCCAGCTCCACGTGACCTTTGGGCTTAAAGTCAAACTCTGGAAGAAAAACACAGTATTTGTAAGAAGTACTAGTTTACATGTTTGTATGTACTAGCATACATGTATATATGTACTAGTATACATACAGTACTGGTATACGTGTGTATGGATTAGTACACATGTATACAGTACGAGTACACATGTATGCAGTACTAGTATACATGTGTATGTGCTAGTACAGGGGTTCCCAAAGTTTTTAGCCCGCGACCCCCATCATAAATGCCCTGCTAACCCGCGACCCCCCCCCCAACATCCCTTCCGTCACATGAAATGAGCATGCATTTCCTTGATACGGAGTAAGGCAGAGACTCGCGCCACTACCGAGCTGCACTGTCCAGCCCAAAAAAGGAGGCTTGCATATTTTTACTCATGTAGTGACACAGTGATGGGCTTGGTGGGCTCCCTCCTCAGCAGAAGTGGAGCGCATTTCTTGCGGCTCGCCTACCGCGGTACCGTTCTCCTACCGCGGTAAAGTGGGCCGGCTTTCCGGAGTCAGCGGTAAAGAGGTCCGCACATTAAAAGCGGGCGGCCGCTTTCTGCTGTTACTTTATGCGGTTCATCCCCGCGGCTTCTCTTTCCAAAGTTACTGTCAGTAAAGGCATAAACCGGCCACCCGCTTTTAATGTGCGGACCTCTTTACCTTTGACTCCGAAAAGCCGGGCCTCTTTAACGCGCTGTTCTACCGCTGTCCTCCCTCCCTCCGCTGCCCTCTCTCCCTCCTCTGCCCTCTCTTCGCACCATCAGCCTGACCCCTGATACAAGTGACTTTTCTCCCCCTCCGGGTTTTTCTGTTGTGGATATTAACCACGTTTCATTTTAAAGCAGGTATTATTTATTTGTAGCCTCCAAACACCTTTAGTTTTAGCAAACAACAGCAGGACACGCTTTGCCGCTGCGCATGATGTGAGCTGTGTTACGTGATGATTTTGATTGACGCTGCAATGACTGGGACAAAATTACTAACGTTATTAAAATATATTATAGTCTCCAAACACAATTTAACAAGTAGTCCTTTTGAATCAAATCAAATGCTAAATAAATATTTAAGGCCTTTATATTTGCTCAAAAAAAAAAATATTTTTTTTTTTTGTTTGTGTACAAATCATCTTGCGAACCCCCCAGGGGTTCCCGCGACCCCCCGGGGGGTCGGGACCCCCACTTTGGGAACCACTGTGCTAGTATATAAGTATTAGTACCAGGTTTGTGTCCCACCAGCTCCAGGACTCGGGCTTGGCTTTCGTCTCCTTCAGGCTGAAACCAAACAAACAACGTCCGTCTGTGTGTCTGTGTGTGTGTGTCTCCGTCTGTGTTACCGTGTCTGGGTGTGTGTCGTTGGGCAGCCTCAGAGCTCGTCTGTAGAACTCTTCCTCCAGATCACTCTCTTCAGGCCTCAGTTCAGAAAGTCTGCGACGAACCTCTCTGCCCCCGAGACGAGCGTCCGAGTACTGAGGGAGCTGTGGAGAACCAGAACCCGGATCTACAGCCTCAGTCTTGGGTCTACAGCCTCAGTCCTGGGTCTACAGCCTCAGTCCTGGGTCTACAGCCTCAGTCCTGGGTCTACAGCCTCAGTCCTGGGTCTACAGCCTCAGTCCTGGGTCTACAGCCTCAGTCCTGGGTCTACAGCCTCAGTCCTGGGTCTACAGCCTCACTCTTGGGTCTACAGCCTCAGTCCTGGTTCTACAGCCTCAGTCTACAGCCTCAGTCCTGGTCTACAGCCTCAGTCTGGGTCTACAGCCTCAGTCTTGGGTCTACAGCCTCAGTCTTGGGTCTACAGCCTCAGTCTTGGGTCTACAGCCTCAGTCCTGGGTCTACAGCCTCAGTCCTGGGTCTACAGCCTCAGTCCTGGGTCTACAGCCTCAGTCCTGGGTCTACAGCCTCAGTCCTGGGTCTACAGCCTCAGTCCTGGGTCTACAGCCTCAGTCCTGGGTCTACAGCCTCAGTCCTGGGTCTACAGCCTCAGTCCTGGGTCTACAGCCTCAGTCCTGGGTCTACAGCCTCAGTCCTGGGTCTACAGCCTCAGTCCTGGGTCTACAGCCTCAGTCCTGGGTCTACAGCCTCAGTCCTGGGTCTACAGCCTCAGTCCTGGGTCTACAGCCTCACTCCTGGGTCTACAGCCTCAGTCCTGGGTCTACAGCCTCAGTCCTGGGTCTACAGCCTCAGTCCTGGGTCTACAGCCTCAGTCCTGGGTCTACAGCCTCAGTCTACAGCCTCAGTCCTGGGTCTACAGCCTCAGTCTGGTCTACAGCCTCAGTCCTGGTTCTACAGCCTCAGTCCTGGTCTACAGCCTCAGTCTACAGCCTCAGTCCTGGGTCTACAGCCTCAGTCCTGGGTCTACAGCCTCAGTCCTGGGTCTACAGCCTCAGTCCTGGGTCTACAGCCTCAGTCCTGGGTCTACAGCCTCAGTCCTGGGTCTACAGCCTCAGTCCTGGGTCTACAGCCTCAGTCCTGGGTCTACAGCCTCAGTCTTCTAGCCTCAGTCCTGGTTCTACAGCCTCAGTCCTGGTTCTACAGCCTCAGTCTGGTCTACAGCCTCAGTCCTGGGTCTACAGCCTCAGTCCTGGGTCTACAGCCTCAGTCCTGGGTCTACAGCCTCAGTCCTGGGTCTACAGCCTCAGTCCTGGGTCTACAGCCTCAGTCCTGGGTCTACAGCCTCAGTCTGGTCTACAGCCTCAGTCTTGGGTCTACAGCCTCAGTCCTGGTTCTACAGCCTCAGTCTACAGCCTCAGTCCTGGTTCTACAGCCTCAGTCTACAGCCTCAGTCCTGGGTCTACAGCCTCAGTCTACAGCCTCAGTCCTGGGTCTACAGCCTCAGTCTACAGCCTCAGTCCTGGGTCTACAGCCTCAGTCCTGGTTCTAGAGCCTCAGTCCTGGTTCTACAGCCTCAGTCTGGTCTACAGCCTCAGTCCTGGGTCTACAGCCTCAGTCCTGGGTCTACAGCCTCAGTCCTGGGTCTACAGCCTCAGTCCTGGGTCTACAGCCTCAGTCCTGGGTCTACAGCCTCAGTCCTGGGTCTACAGCCTCAGTCCTGGGTCTACAGCCTCAGTCTTGGGTCTACAGCCTCAGTCTTGGGTCTACAGCCTCAGTCTTGGGTCTACAGCCTCAGTCTTGGGTCTACAGCCTCAGTCTTGGGTCTACAGCCTCAGTCTTGGGTCTACAGCCTCAGTCTTGGGTCTACAGCCTCAGTCTTGGGTCTACAGCCTCAGTCTTGGGTCTACAGCCTCAGTCTTGGGTCTACAGCCTCAGTCTTGGGTCTACAGCCTCAGTCTTGGGTCTACAGCCTCAGTCTTGGGTCTACAGCCTCAGTCTTGGGTCTACAGCCTCAGTCTTGGGTCTACAGCCTCAGTCTTGGGTCTACAGCCTCAGTCTTGGGTCTACAGCCTCAGTCTTGGGTCTACAGCCTCAGTCTTGGGTCTACAGCCTCAGAGTTCTTGGGTCTACAGCCTCAGTCTTGGGTCTACAGCCTCAGTCTTGGGTCTACAGCCTCAGTCTTGGGTCTACAGCCTCAGTCTTGGGTCTACAGCCTCAGTCTTGGGTCTACAGCCTCAGTCTTGGGTCTACAGCCTCAGTCTTGGGTCTACAGCCTCAGTCTTGGGTCTACAGCCTCAGTCTTGGGTCTACAGCCTCAGTCTTGGGTCTACAGCCTCAGTCTTGGGTCTACAGCCTCAGTCTTGGGTCTACAGCCTCAGTCTTGGGTCTACAGCCTCAGTCTTGGGTCTACAGCCTCAGTCTTGGGTCTACAGCCTCAGTCTTGGGTCTACAGCCTCAGTCTTGGGTCTACAGCCTCAGTCTTGGGTCTACAGCCTCAGTCTTGGGTCTACAGCCTCAGTCTTGGGTCTACAGCCTCAGTCTTGGGTCTACAGCCTCAGTCTTGGGTCTACAGCCTCAGTCTTGGGTCTACAGCCTCAGTCTTGGGTCTACAGCCTCAGTCTTGGGTCTACAGCCTCAGTCTTGGGTCTACAGCCTCAGTCTTGGGTCTACAGCCTCAGTCTTGGGTCTACAGCCTCAGTCTTGGGTCTACAGCCTCAGTCTTGGGTCTACAGCCTCAGTCTTGGGTCTACAGCCTCAGTCTTGGGTCTACAGCCTCAGTCTTGGGTCTACAGCCTCAGTCTTGGGTCTACAGCCTCAGTCTTGGGTCTACAGCCTCAGTCTTGGGTCTACAGCCTCAGTCTTGGGTCTACAGCCTCAGTCTTGGGTCTACAGCCTCAGTCTGGGTCTACAGCCTCAGTCTGGTCTACAGCCTCTCAGTCTTGGGTCTACAGCCTCAGTCCTGGGTCTACAGCCTCAGTCTTGGGTCTACAGCCTCAGTCCTGGGTCTACAGCCTCAGTCCTGGGTCTACAGCCTCAGTCTGGGTCTACAGCCTCAGTCTGGGTCTACAGCCTCAGTCCTGGGTCTACAGTCTCAGGCCTGGGTCTACAGCCTCAGTCCTGGGTCTACAGCCTCAGTCCTGGGTCTACAGCCTCAGTCCTGGGTCTACAGCCTCAGTCCTGGGTCTACAGCCTCAGTCCTGGGTCTACAGCCTCAGTCCTGGGTCTACAGCCTCAGTCCTGGGTCTACAGCCTCAGTCCTGGGTCTACAGCCTCAGTCCTGGGTCTACAGCCTCAGTCCTGGGTCTACAGCCTCAGTCCTGGGTCTACAGCCTCAGTCCTGGGTCTACAGCCTCAGTCCTGGGTCTACAGCCTCAGTCCTGGGTCTACAGCCTCAGTCCTGGGTCTACAGCCTCAGTCCTGGGTCTACAGCCTCAGTCCTGGGTCTACAGCCTCAGTCTGGGTCTACAGCCTCAGTCCTGGGTCTACAGCCTCAGTCCTGGGTCTACAGCCTCAGTCCTGGGTCTACAGCCTCAGTCCTGGGTCTACAGCCTCAGTCTGGGTCTACAGCCTCAGTCCTGGGTCTACAGCCTCAGTCTGGGTCTACAGCCTCAGTCTGGGTCTACAGCCTCAGTCTGGGTCTACAGCCTCAGTCCTGGGTCTACAGCCTCAGTCTTGGGTCTACAGCCTCAGTCTTGGGTCTACAGCCTCAGTCTTGGGTCTACAGCCTCAGTCCTGGGTCTACAGCCTCAGTCCTGGGTCTACAGCCTCAGTCCTGGGTCTACAGCCTCAGTCCTGGGTCTACAGCCTCAGTCCTGGGTCTACAGCCTCAGTCCTGGGTCTACAGCCTCAGTCCTGGGTCTACAGCCTCAGTCCTGGGTCTACAGCCTCAGTCCTGGGTCTACAGCCTCAGTCCTGGGTCTACAGCCTCAGTCCTGGGTCTACAGCCTCAGTCCTGGGTCTACAGCCTCAGTCCTGGGTCTACAGCCTCAGTCTTGGGTCTACAGCCTCAGTCTTGGGTCTACAGCCTCAGTCTTGGGTCTACAGCCTCAGTCCTGGATCTACAGCCTCAGTCTTGGGTCTACAGCCTCAGTCTTGGGTCTACAGCCTCAGTCTTGGGTCTACAGCCTCAGTCTTGGGTCTACAGCCTCAGTCTTGGGTCTACAGCCTCAGTCTTGGGTCTACAGCCTCAGTCTTGGGTCTACAGCCTCAGTCTTGGGTCTACAGCCTCAGTCTTGGGTCTACAGCCTCAGTCTTGGGTCTACAGCCTCAGTCTTGGGTCTACAGCCTCAGTCTTGGGTCTACAGCCTCAGTCTTGGGTCTACAGCCTCAGTCTTGGGTCTACAGCCTCAGTCTTGGGTCTACAGCCTCAGTCTTGGGTCTACAGCCTCAGTCTTGGGTCTACAGCCTCAGTCTTGGGTCTACAGCCTCAGTCTTGGGTCTACAGCCTCAGTCTTGGGTCTACAGCCTCAGTCTTGGGTCTACAGCCTCAGTCTTGGGTCTACAGCCTCAGTCTTGGGTCTACAGCCTCAGTCTTGGGTCTACAGCCTCAGTCTTGGGTCTACAGCCTCAGTCGGTCTCTGGTCTACAGCCTCAGTCTGGTCTACAGCCTCAGTCTTGGGTCTACAGCCTCAGTCCTGGGTCTACAGCCTCAGTCTACAGCCTCAGTCCTGGGTCTACAGCCTCAGTCTGGTCTACAGCCTCAGTCCTGGTTCTAGAGCCTCAGTCCTGGTTCTACAGCCTCAGTCTGTCTACAGCCTCAGTCCTGGGTCTACAGCCTCAGTCCTGGGTCTACAGCCTCAGTCCTGGGTCTACAGCCTCAGTCCTGGGTCTACAGCCTCAGTCCTGGGTCTACAGCCTCAGTCCTGGGTCTACAGCCTCAGTCCTGGGTCTACAGCCTCAGTCCTGGGTCTACAGCCTCAGTCCTGGGTCTACAGCCTCAGTCCTGGGTCTACAGCCTCAGTCCTGGGTCTACAGCCTCAGTCCTGGGTCTACAGCCTCAGTCTTGGGTCTACAGCCTCAGTCTTGGGTCTACAGCCTCAGTCTTGGGTCTACAGCCTCAGTCTTGGGTCTACAGCCTCAGTCTTGGGTCTACAGCCTCAGTCTTGGGTCTACAGCCTCAGTCTTGGGTCTACAGCCTCAGTCTTGGGTCTACAGCCTCAGTCTTGGGTCTACAGCCTCAGTCTTGGGTCTACAGCCTCAGTCCTGGGTCTACAGCCTCAGTCCTGGGTCTACAGCCTCAGTCCTGGGTCTACAGCCTCAGTCCTGGGTCTACAGCCTCAGTCCTGGGTCTACAGCCTCAGTCCTGGGTCTACAGCCTCAGTCCTGGGTCTACAGCCTCAGTCCTGGGTCTACAGCCTCAGTCCTGGGTCTACAGCCTCAGTCCTGGGTCTACAGCCTCAGTCCTGGGTCTACAGCCTCAGTCCTGGGTCTACAGCCTCAGTCCTGGGTCTACAGCCTCAGTCCTGGGTCTACAGCCTCAGTCCTGGGTCTACAGCCTCAGTCCTGGGTCTACAGCCTCAGTCTTGGGTCTACAGCCTCAGTCTTGGGTCTACAGCCTCAGTCTTGGGTCTACAGCCTCAGTCTTGGGTCTACAGCCTCAGTCTTGGGTCTACAGCCTCAGTCTTGGGTCTACAGCCTCAGTCTTGGGTCTACAGCCTCAGTCCTGGGTCTACAGCCTCAGTCCTGGGTCTACAGCCTCAGTCCTGGGTCTACAGCCTCAGTCCTGGGTCTACAGCCTCAGTCCTGGGTCTACAGCCTCAGTCCTGGGTCTACAACCTCAGTCCTGGGTCTACAGCCTCAGTCCTGGGTCTACAGCCTCAGTCCTGGGTCTACAGCCTCAGTCTTGGGTCTACAGCCTCACTCTTGGGTCTACAGCCTCAGTCTTGGGTCTACAGCCTCACTCTTGGGTCTACAGCCTCACTCTTGGGTCTACAGCCTCACTCTTGGGTCTACAGCCTCACTCTTGGGTCTACAGCCTCAGTCTACAGCCTCACTCTTGGGTCTACAGCCTCAGTCCTGGTTCTACAGCCTCAGTCTACAGCCTCAGTCTTGGGTCTACAGCGTCAGTCCTGGTTCTACAGCCTCAGTCTACAGCCTCAGTCCTGGGTCTACAGCCTCAGTCTACAGCCTCAGTCCTGGGTCTACAGCCTCAGTCTACAGCCTCAGTCCTGGTTCTAGAGCCTCAGTCCTGGTTCTACAGCCTCAGTCCTGGGTCTACAGCCTCAGTCCTGGGTCTACAGCCTCAGTCCTGGGTCTACAGCCTCAGTCCTGGGTCTACAGCCTCAGTCCTGGGTCTACAGCCTCAGTCCTGGGTCTACAGCCTCAGTCCTGGGTCTACAGCAGCCTCAGTCCAGGGTCTACAGCAGCCTCAGTCCAGGGTCTACAGCCTCAGTCCAATGTGTTTGTTGTAATTACATCGTGTTTGATTTTCTCATCAGTTGAATCCACAACTTTGTAAAGTCCTCAGAGACGACTGCTGCTATGATTTAGGAAGATTCACAAATAAATTGAATAGATTCTTGCACTTACAGTGGCCAGAGTCTTCTTCTCATGTTTGCTCTGTGAAAACAGAAGAGACAAGTACATGATGTGGGAGAACAGATGAGACACACTCCATCTAGTGGCAGAGGCAGGACGTCTCTCTGGTCTTTTTCTGGTCTCTCTCACCACTAGTTCTTTGACTGTCTGGCTGATGACTTTCTTATGTTCCTCTAAAGCTGAGATCTCTGCTTTCGTTGCCTGCAGCTTCTTCCACAGCTCCACCTGAAAACACGCAAACACCGAGTCATTAAAGCTGAGAGACGTAACTTTCAAAGCACAACAAGAACTCTCTCTCTCTTTGTATATTCTCTGTATAATAACGATAATAAAGTGAGCCTCACGATCCTCCAGACGTCCTCTCCTCTCAGCTCTCCTTTACGCCGCTCCACGTTCCGGACCACGGCCTCCGGTTCCGCGCAGACTCGGTCCATGTCCAGCTCCGGTTTGTGGCTGTATCCCTCCCGGGCGTGAGCGTACAGGCTGCTGGGGGGAGCTCCATGACAGCAGCGGTGTGTGAGAGCCAGGCTGAGCCGCGAGCAGGACCTCAGAGCCGGGGAGAGGGCATAGAGAGACCCCTGGAGCCGACAGCTGAAGGAGGCCGCCATGTTGGTAATACTGACAGGTCACGTGGGAGGAGCACGCTGGCGTTATGTGTTAATGTGATCATATTTACAGTTTCAACATGAATTTAATCTTATTTATCAATAAAAGCACTATTATTTTTAAGGTGTGTAAATGAAGCATATTAAGTTATAATATTATACAATTTGCATGTGGTCACAAAACAACCGACTTCTGCTGGGTTCTTGAGTCATAAAGTTCACTCCAAGCTCCTGCGTTATGGTATTAGCTCCTCATCCACGTCCAGGAAGCAGACAGTCTCTACATTAAAACAGTCATTATTTCAGCAGATGGTTCTTTTTTTATTATTTTTTTCAAAATGTTATTATTTTCCATTTACATCAATCGTCAAAGATGAGACATCTGAAAATAGAGAGCTCATACTAAAATAACAAAATACGATATATAAAATAAAATTACATTAATAAACCAAAAAAATAAAAAAAAGTTCAGTAGTCCGTGTCAGGGAATTTCATCGAAGAAGTCCTTTAACAGTCAGGAGTCGTTTGCTTTTCTTATTCATTACATACTGCAGTGAGTTCATAACATTTTTAACATCACTTAAACATAGGGGGAAATATCTGCAAACTTTGAGACGACCAAGTTGACAGGGTAGAACAATCTTAAAATGAACTTCCTTCATTTTGTTTGTAGTGCAGTATTTATATGGCAATAGCCAGGTTTTCTTCCAGGCTATTTCCTCTATTAAGGAGTTCCAAAAAAATTTACTCCTAGGAGGGATTTTGTTATGACTTTGAAACATTTGACGGATATGGTGATTATTACATTTTCTATCAAGTAAATTAATCCCATTTAATGTGAGCACAATGGAGCTATCACCAATATTGTTGATGTTGTAGTAGAAGGACAAATGGCATCTTATAAGATGGAGACTCAGGGAAGATTGTCAGTGACGCAACATATGCAGCCCCCTGCTGGAGAAGTCTGGTAACAGCACTGTCCTCATTGTTTTTCACCCACTGTACCATTGAGACAGTGCGTGATGACGGGACCTCTGAATCTTGCCTCTTTCATCATGCTTCTTCACCATGGGACCTGCACCCCCTTCCCCGCCTGGGAGCGGCCTAAGTCCCAGTCTTTAATACTGGGCCCTAAGTTATAAAGTGCACAAAGACACAGGTAGAATATACAAACCACTGACAAAGAAGTTGGGGATTGAACCACAGACCTCCTGCTCCACGGTTAAAATGACGATAGAAGACAAGTTTTTGTGAGAAACGTTGGTCAGAAGTTTTTATTGAACAAATACATTCCACATTTGTCCTATTTTGGCTCAGAGCGATTCTCCAGTGAAGTCTGAAATCCCACCTGAAGAGGCCACAGCTGCCCCAGGGCGGATGGCCGGAGAGTGGCTGCCAGCTCCGGCTTTCACCAGTAATGATTATCAGTCCCTTTTCCCAGAGAAGTTCAAAACACATTATAAAGAGTGGTTCTCAAGCAGGTCCAAAAGCTGGGGTTTGTAACTTTAAAGCTGGGTCCACCCCAAGTTTGCCAATACTGTGTCACACACAATTCACTCCAGTGTTAGTCTGCCCCAGGGCGACTGTGGCTCCATCAATAAATACATAAACCCAAACAATGCATTGAATTAAAATTGAACAATAAAAGATTCAAAATAAATAATAAATCACAGAAAGAGAAGTGAGAACAATCTGAGAGAGACCAGAGAGAGACCAGAGAGAGAGACCAGAAAGAGAGACCAGAGAGAGAGACCAGAGAGAGAGAGAGAGAGACCAGGGAGAGACCAGAGAGAGAGACCAGAGAGAGAGAGAGAGAGACCAGGGAGAGACCAGAGAGAGAGACCAGAGAGAGAGAGAGAGAGACCAGGGAGAGACCAGAGAGAGAGACCAGAGAGAGGGAGAGACCAGAGAGAGACCAGAGAGAGACCAGAGAGAGACCAGAGAGAGACATGAGACCATAGACTGAGCAGTAAACCCAGAGCTCTGACTTCAGACGTCTATTCCCTCTTCGCCCCAACAGTCCCAAACCATATGCTGTTGTGAAAGGGGCTTAATCCTGTAAACTGAGACTCAGCGCCGTTCTGTGAGTCGTCTCAGGGCGCTGCGCTCTCCCTCGCGGCCCTCAGGGCGCAGCGCTCTCCCTCGCGGCCCTCAGGACGCAGCGCTCTCCCTCCCGGCCCTCAGGACGCAGCGCTCTCCCTCGCGGCCCTCAGGCGGCTCAGCACGTGCTTCTTGGGGAACTTGAGGGTGGTGCACCCAAACTGACTGACTGTGTCGCCCGGCAGCTTCTCGCGGCGCTGCACCCAGCTGCGCCAGCCTGGTTTCCAGCAGTAAATACTGTCATAGAAGCGTGAGCCGTTCTCTCCCCCCAGGACGTAGATGCGCCTCTTCCAGCGCGCCACGCCGCCGGCCGCGATGCGCCGCGGCAGACCGGGAAACAGCACAGGGCTCTGCGCGCGCTCACTGCTGTTCGTGACTGGAACCTCGCGCTCAGAGCCGCGGCCCTCTCTGAAGAACAGCACTCTCCCGGTGGCGTCCAGCGTCTCCAGGTTTGTAAAGTTTCCGTCTAAGAACTTAGTTGTGTCGCGCAGGTATCCTCCGATGGCACAAACGCCACCGCGCACGGCCACGCCGCCCGCTAAGCATGTCGCTCCTGAGTCTAAGGCCACACGGGTCCAGTGGTGCGTGCGCGTGTGGAAGATGAGGACGCCAGAGTGCACAGCTGCCCGGTTCTGCTCCGCGGTGCTGCCCCCAATCAGGTACAGGCGCGAGCGCAGCGTGGCACAGGCGAAGGCACGCAGCGGCAAAGGCAACCGCGGCCCGCTCCTCCACACCATCGTGCTCAGGTCCAGCACTTCACTGGAGTCCAGCAGCGCGGAGCGGTTACAGCCGCCCAGCGCGTACAGAGAGTTCCCACAGCCCAGCAGTCCTGAGGCAGAGGAGAGGGTCAAACAAGTTTATTTGGATAGCACAACTCACACACTGGTCCCTGGTTTATCACAGGGGTGATCTGCTCTAAAACTAACCCACAATAAGGTAAATACTCTCACTAAAAGCTGTATGTGAGAGAACAGAGAGAGAGACCAGAATGAGAGACCAGAGAATACAGAAGTAGCTGTGGTAGTACCTAGCATGGCGCGCGGCTGGGCCATGGGAGCGCGCTCGGTCCATCGGTCCAACACGGCGTCGTACTCGTGGACGTTTGCGGAGACGGTGTAAGTTCTGAGGATTCCACCAGCGACAAACAGACGGTCTCCCACCGCGGTGCAGCCTGGGCTCACCACCGACGCCAGCGGGGCAAGCTTCTCCCACTTCCCTGTGCGTGGGTCAAAGCAGTCCACCGATAAGTCCTGGAACACACACAAGGACAAGCACACACACACACACACACACACACACACACACACACACACACACACACACAGGCAATAGTACTGTTACACTACCAAAGAAATTGCTCTAGTAAAAGTACTGTAACCCCCAATTCACTCCGATCATCTTCATGCAAACAGACTGTATACAGATAGACAATACAATTTATTCTTGTATGGCCCTAAATCACAACAGTAGTCATCTCAGAGGACTTAACAAAACCATTTAAATCACCGTAACACAGACAATGCTAATGGTGCTTTCAGACCGGATCATGCGTTGCGTCAGGTTTCAATGCAAAGTCTATGGTGACGCGCGTTCGGCCGTCACAACGCACAGACCGCACAAACGGACTGTTCAGTAGACATGCACAGACTTGGCGGGAAAGTGAAAAGGGTGGAGCAGGAGCGAAAAATCGACGCAGACAGGAGATGGATTCTGCTCATCCTTTCCTTCGTTCGTGCGACAACCAATCAAAGAGCCGCAAAGTGGTCACGGGGACATTAGCGGACTGAGCGAGCAGACTGAAAATACTCGTAAACAGCCAAAACAGGACCCACACCAGGCTTCACCAGAACTCAAACCAGGGTTGACACCGGGGGACTCTGTGCTTGTGAAAATATGCCACGCTGCAAAGCTGCATATTGGAGAAGATCTGTACACAAGAAGCCGCTAGCATAGCTCTGCTACCATTAGAGCCAGCCGGCTACGACCGGTACTTCCGGCTCGCGTCAGGACGTTCTGGTGTGAAGTCCTCTGCGTCTGAAAACTAGAGAATGTGCGCAACATGTCTGCCTCAGTCAGCCTCACCCTCACCCACACACACACAGAGACATACACATACCTCTGTCAGTAGATTCCCGTCTTCTCTCGGCGTCAGATCCACACAGACGATCTTCTTCTCAAACATCCCCTCTCTGGGTCTCAGGGGCCCCCCCATGGCCCCCCTCACGGCCCCCAGCTCTTTGCTGAGGCGGCGGCTCTCCTCCAGGGACAGCAGCCCAGGACGCAGGTGCCTCAGGAGCGCTGGCATGTGAGCATAGCGGAGCAGTGGCAGATGCTCCGCCCACCTGGAAGCAAGCATTTATTTAGATAGCACGTTTCACACAAAGAGCTTTACAATTGCAGGAGTTTATCTCTCACTCCACACAAGGGAGACAAGAGAGAGATAAGAGAGAGATAAGAGAGAGACCAGAGAGAGACCAGAGAGAGACCACAGAGAGACCACAGAGAGACCACAGAGAGACCACAGAGAGAGACCACAGAGAAAGATCAGACACAGGGAGAACATGCAAACTCTACACTGCCTGTACCTGCGCGCGGCGTCGTACACCTCGGCCTCGGAGTGGACTCCGAGTCGGTCTGATCCCAGCAGAGATCCCAGAGTTCCATGGTCCAGCAGCAGGAAGTCCTTCTGCCGGGACACCAGGGGGAAGTGCTGAGCCACCAGCCGCAGAGAGGCACGGAGCAGCAGCTGGTCATGGTGCGAGCGGGCGAGAGAGTACATACCCAGGCAGTTCTCCAGAGACAGGTGAGAGAACAAGAACCTGGTGAGAGAGAGACAGGGAGAGACAAAATACTTGGGTCTCACGTCTCTGGAGGTGCTCCATTGAGCCCTATTAACAGGTGCGAGGGGTCAACTCCTTTTGCAGATTGAAACAATTGGATCTGAGTTTACCGTGACGTATGTAATGCGCCCGAGTGAGTGAGGCATTTAGCCTAGCTATAGTATTTAGCCTAGCTTTAGCCATCTCCTTTGCCACTAACGGAGCCCGTGGGGAGTAGACCCACAACATATTTTCAGCAATGACATTTGCTACACATTCCTCTTCAATTTCTTGATATTTGGAGCCAAACCAGAACGGATTACTTTACTATCACATTCGGCGCCATTGCCAAACTGCAACCAGCAAACTCTTGACGTCACAACACCTACCTGCAACACCTGCCTCCCCCGCTCTGTAAGGAAATAATAATTGACTGGAGTTTACGGATGGCTAAGGCCAGGCTACCATCAATGGGGATACCAGAGCCCAGAGAGAGACAAAGACCAGGCAGAGACCAGGCAGAGACCAGAGAGAAACCAAAGACCAGAGAGAGACTTGATATCAGCAAGAGGTTAGAGAGAGATCAGAGCCAGAGAGAGACCAGACAATAGTAGTGTACAATGTGTGCAATAGTGTGCAATAGTGTGAGATAGTCTCATGTCCTGACCTGGAGCACAGATCCTGCAGAGGCATGACCTGAAGTCTGTTCGCTGCCACAAACAGGTCTTCTGCTGTGTCCAGAGAAAGCCCCGCCTCCCCAGAGTAGACGAATCGGATCACAGTATCCATCACGGCCGGCGTCACGTCCTCCAATCGGATCTCAGTGAGGCGGGACTCCACCAGAGGACTGGTGAACATGGCTCTGAAGTAAGGACTGACGGCGGCAAGAAGGACTCTGTAGAGAGACCACGGATCAGAGAGAGACCAGAGAGAGACCAGAGAGACCAGAGAGAGATGAGAGTACCGGGAGCTGGAGGCGCCTCTCACCTGTGACACATGAACTTCTTCCCTTCCACCAGTAATGTGACATCACAGAGCTGCTGAGCGTCCAACAGCTGCTTCAGACCTGGAGAGAGACTGTGGTCACTGCACTGAGGCCTCAAAGATCAAACCCCTGTGTGTGCACAAACATTACAAACATGTCTCTGAGCCTTGAGAGTCACTATTTGACTGTTTGGGCTGAGAGCTGATTAGCGGAGTGAGAGCCAACTGCTTTAGAGCCAGAAACTAGTGATATAGATTTTATTAGAGTTGTGGTTTGAAAGTTACCTACCCCAGCTTTAAAGACCTGGTCTAGTCTCTGGGCTACGCACTCTCTGGGCTACGCACTCTCTGGGCTACGCACTCTCTGGGCTACGCACTCTCTGGGCTACGCACTCTCTGGGCTACGCACTCTCTGGGCTACGCACTCTCTGGGCTACGCACTCTCTGGGCTACGCACTCTCTGGGCTCGCACTCTCTGGTCTCTCCCTCTCTGGTCTCTCCCTCTCTGGTCTCTCCCTCTCTGGTCTCTCCCTCTCTGGTCTCTCCCTCTCTGGTCTCTCCCTCTCTGGTCTCTCCCTCTCTGGTCTCTCCCCTCTCTCTCTCTCCCTCTCTGGTCTCTCCCTCTCTGGTCTCTCCCTCTCTGGTCTCTCCCTCTCTGGTCTCTCCCTCTCTGGTCTCTCCCTCTCTGGTCTCTCCCTCTCTGGTCTCTCCCTCTCTGGTCTCTCTCCCTCTCTCTGGTCTAAAAATACATTATGTGAAACTAGTGACAAGTACAGAGTTCTGAAATGTATATCTCCCAGCTTTAGTATCTGATTGTGTAAGGTTTGACAGCTGCAGTTGGACCATATGTGACAGAACATGTGTGACAAAATATGTGTGACGCACCATGAGTGACATAGTCCCCCAGAGGAGTGGTGCTGTCATCAGGGAAGTCCTCCTCCTCAGAGTCCGAGTCCGACAGAGGCTCTCCTCCTCCTCCATCTCCGTCCTGCCAGGGCTGCGGGCGCCAGGTCAGCGCGCCCCCCCTGTTCATCTGGGCATCACAAAAACAGCTTTAAGAACTTCTGGCACAAATATATAACTCTGCCTGTCCTGTCTATGGTCCAAGGCCTGGCAACCCAAGATACCTACCCATTCAGATAATCAAGAAAGCGAGAAGAGAGAGGGAGAGCATGGAGAGGAAAAAGTGAGACCAGAGAGACAAATGACAGAGACCAGAGGGAAACAAAAGAGAGAGACCAGAGACTTCTCTTCTATTGTCTTTTACAAAATAACAGCATTACATGAATACAATGGCAATTATTACAAGATGTTCAAGGCAAAAACATTAGTAATAACAGGCGTAATAACAGAGAGAGAGCGAGAGAGAGACCAGAGACTTCTATTCTACTCTCTATTAGTGCAAAACAGCTTCACATTAATAATAGTTTGAATAATGCCTTTTATATGTTCTAAGCAAAAACACTAGTAATAACAGATTTCTAAAACTCACTCAAAACATGGAGTGAGTTTGTTGTGACTTTGTGAAGGAAGGACTCAGCAAAAAGCAACCTTTATTGTCATTATCAGCTACATAACCTTGGTAAAAGACACAGGCTTTAACTGGATAATTTAATGAGCTCTTATGGCCTGTTCATAAGCAAGAGGCAGGTCAACAAAGCTGAAAATGTCCCTTATATTATATTAGCTGGGTGTTTTTCTTGTAGAATTGGTCTTTGACTCTAACATGTGACTTTATAATAAACATATGAGTTATGTTATAGCTCTGTATGCACTTGCCTTTGCTCTCCGTCTCGTCTCCAGCGTGGCGATTTATGTTTCACTCCTTTCCACTGGAAATATATGAAGTGAATGTTGTGTTCTGGTGCGGACACAGACACCCGGAGCTCCTCGACAGCTGCCCCCGCGTGTGTGTTGCCTTTTTCGGCCTCTTTCCCCGGCCTTCACCCGCGGAGTCCAGGCTACCGTTGCTAGCTAGTCACCGCCACATCTCTTCTTCCAGGGGCTGAATCCAAACTCCGAGCCCAATTTAAACGTTCTAACGGCCGCTAACATTATCAGTCCACCATGGCACAGATATAAAACCTTAAACTGGTGGTAGAGTCACAACTACATCTGAATTACACGGAATTATTAATGAAATTTAAAGGAAAGTTGAGCAGCAAACCGCACTTGTCATAGAATATTTTCCCAAACACACCAAAGATCCCCCCGTGCATTATCGATGGTAGCAATGCTAGCACTGTTAAAACTTAAAGCCAAATATTCTTAAAAAATAGTTTTAATTATGATAAATACACGAATTAAAGTTAGTGCAAGTTGATTTGAGTAGTGTTATAGCTGTGAGAAATGTATGCTAAACAAACCTTAGCGAGAGTGTGTAGGGGAAATAATTACGCTCCTTGTCAGGTAAAATCATCAACTGCATATTTTTTCTCCAACGCAAATACGATATATATTTATGACAAAACCGATCTCAAATCCTGACAGTGTAATAAATTAGCTATATATAAATTGGACATAAAAAAAATCTTTAAAGAAATAAATGTTGGCTCAAAAAATTAAAAAACGTTATTACTACGTTGGGAGAAAATTCTGCTACAGACGCTGCAGCTGCTCTGATTGGCTAGATACCACGCCAAAATCGTATCGAAAAATATGAAATAATAAAAATATATAAAGTAATAATGAACATATATTCAAACAATCAGTTAATAAATTAAGGATATTTGGAGAATATTCACATTTCATGTAATAAAATGTGAAATATTTTCATTATATTTTGTATTCTTACTTTATTGATAATAATTAATAATACGTAATTTAATGAAGGTCATTATTCACATAAAAGTACATCTGTGACATATTGGTGCCATATCAACCAACTCAGACTCTGAGGAGCACAGGGACTGGCCTCCTGCTGGGACTCTTTTAATGTTTCTTTTGTTTTTTTCAGCACTTTGAGTAGTCTTGAGTATGAACTGTGCTACACAAATAAACTTGCCTTGCTATAAAACTGTTAGAGGCTCCAGTATGTGAAGTGCAGGCATAAATAACTTATTAATAGTGAAAGTGTAAATTATTATTATTTGGGCTAATAATGGACGAGCTCAAAGTCCTGCGTCACTTCTTCACCCCCTGTACAAGTATTGTGATGTGTAGTAGAGGTAGTACTTCTTCATAGCAGTAGTAATAGTAGTGGCAGCAGCAGTAGTAGTAGTAGTAGTAGTAGTAGTATTAGCAGTAGTAGTAGTAGTAGTAGTAGTATTAGCAGTGATGGAGGCAGTGGGCATAAACAACGCAGCAGACATCTGTGTGATCTTGGGATACTTCCTCATCGTCATCGCGGTTGGAATCTGGGTCAGAAAATTAACAATTTTATTACTTGATTATTAATATTTAATGATCAGAACCAGTGCAGTTTCCTGTAAACATTGTCTACAGTTTTTTGTAGCTTAATTTTCTATGACAGCCATTCCCAAACTCAGTAACACCGAGGCCCCCTTAAAAATCTGACGGGTCTGCGTGCCCCCCCAAAATAATAACCAAGAAGACAACATTAAGAACAGGCTCTTCTGGTTATTTTATTTTGGGGAAATAGCCTCTACATTGTAATACAAAAATGATTACAGTGGATTATTCAAGTCAAATAATGAACACAAATATTTTAATATTACAAACAAAACATTTTAAATTTAACATTAAATAATTATATTATTTTTTTATGACCTCCCGCGGCCCCCCTGCAGTACCCTCGCGGCCCACCAGGGGGCCGCGGACCCCACTTTGGGAGACACTGTTCTATGATAACAGGAATGTTCACAACAACCACTTTTACACAGGACAACAGTGGGAAAGGTCATGTTGTTTGGACCCTTTTCACCACTGGGATGAGAGAGACCAAAAAGGGACCAGAAAGAGAGAGCAGAGAGGGAGAGACCACAGAGAGACACCAGAGAAGGACCAGAGAGAGAGACCAGAGAGAGACCAGAGAGAGACTAGAGAGAGGGACCAGAGAGAGAGACCAGAGAGGACCACAAGTCTCTCATCCTTGCGGAGCAGTACAGACATATTCAACATGTTCCACAACTTAAGTGTTTTTTCATTGTAGATGTGTCCTCACTGTCTCTCTCTTTCCTCTCCTTGTGTGTCCGGCCTCAGTCCATGTTTCGGACCAATCGCAGCTCAGTGGGCGGGTACTTCCTGGCGGGACGCTCAATGTCGTGGTGGCCTGTGAGTAACAACGCCATCTTTAATGACGTTAAAACTACTCTACCGTACTCTACTTTACCCTGCCCTACTTAACTCTATCCTACCCCACTTTACTCTACTCTCCCCTACCCTTCTCCACTCTACTCTACTCTACCCTACCCTACCATACCCTACTCTTCTTCTCTACCCTACTCTTCCCTACCCTGCTCTACTCTACCATACTTTACTCTTCTCTACCTTACTCTACCCTACCCTACCATACCCTACTCTTCTTCTCTACCCTACTCTACCCTACCCTGCTCTACTCTACCATACTTTACTCTATCCTATCCTACTCTACTCTACTCTACCATACTTTACTCTACCCTACACTGCTCTACTCTACTCTACTTTCCCCTGATTGGGAGTGTTTCCTCTGGTCCTGTGTACCTCAGGTCCTTCTTTAGAACCTCTTGGTCCTGGTTCTATCAAGGCCGAGCTAATACCAAAGTGTTCTAGCTGACAGTGATTGGCCAGAGTGCTGCTGGAAGCCATGGTTACCAAGGATTTTACATACTGGTTTGTTGTAGATGGGATGGTAGGATAGGAACCAGATACTAAATGGACGGGTGATGCTCTGGGCTCTCTCTAGTCTTTCTCTGGTCTCTCTCTGGTTTGTTTTATGGTCTCAGGAACTTCCTGTTGTGTTTATAAGAAGGCCTTCATGGTGTAATGCTCTGATGGTCCAGGTAGGGGCGTCGCTGTTCGCCAGTAACATCGGCAGCGGTCACTTCATTGGTCTGGCGGGAACAGGAGCAGCCAGTGGCATCGCAGTCGGAGGCTTCGAGTGGAACGTGAGAAACACACCGACCAGCAGATGTGTTTAACTCCCTCTGGTCTTTCTCTCTGGTCTCTCTCTTTCTGGTCTCTCTCTCTGGCCTCTTTTTGGTCTCTCTCTGGTGTCTCATGTTTCTCCTGTTCCTCAGGCCCTCTTCATTGTCCTGCTGCTGGGATGGGTCTTTGTGCCGGTCTACCTCACTGCGGAGGTGATGTCACACTCAAACACTGAGCTAGAAAGATCTGGGGGAGTGCAATAAATCCCACATTTTAACTTAAAAACGTATGGAAAAATAGATGTTTTTTATTGAAACATTTGTATGGTTTCATTGAGTTAGCATTATCTATCTGTATACAGTCTATGTTAGCATTGTCCATCTGTATACAGTCTGTGGTCCAACGCTTTGGTCCAGACTGGTTCACACTGGTCGGTCTGGTTCACTTAAACTGGACCAGACCATTGTCAAAGTGTTCTCAAACGCCGGTCCTGGTCCGAACAGGAGAGGGTTAACTCCTGGTGTTTCCTGCAGGTGATCACAATGCCTCAGTATCTGAAGAAGAGGTTTGGAGGATCTCGCATCAGCCTCTTCCTCTCCATCATCTCTCTGTTCCTCTACATCTTCACCAAAATCTCAGTAAGTCTCTCTCTGGTCTCTTTCTAGTCTCTCTCTGGTCTCTCTCTCTTGTCTCTCTCGACTCTCTCTCTCTTTGGTCTCTCACACTGGTCGCTCTCTGGTTTCTCTCTAGTTTCACTTCTCTCTCTCTCTCTGGTCTCTTTCAGGTGGACATGTTTTCTGGTGCAGTCTTCATTCAGCAGGCTCTGGGTTGGAACATCTACATCTCTGTGATCGCTCTGCTGGTCATCACAGGTGTCTACACCATCACAGGTACAGACCAGGGACCAGAGAGAGAACAGAGAGAGACCAGAGAGAGACCAGAGAGAGACCAGAGAGCGACCAGAGAGAGACCAGAGAGAGACCAGAGAGCGACCAGAGGGAGACCAGAGAGAGACCAGAGAGCGACCAGAGGGAGACCAGAGAGAGACCAGAGAGAGACCAGAGAGAGACCAGAGAGCGACCAGAGGGAGACCAGAGAGAGACCAGAGAGAGACCAGAGAGCGACCAGAGAGAGGCCAGAGAGAGACCAGAGAGAGACCAGAGAGCGACCAGAGGGAGACCAGAGAGACCAGAGAGCGACCAGAGGGAGACCAGAGAGAGACCAGAGAGCGACCAGAGAGAGGCCACAGGTGACTCCAGGAAGAGACCGGAGAGAGAGACTAGACCAGATCAAAGACAAGAGGTCAGAAAGACTTCCTCTTCTTCCTCAGGAGGTCTGGCGGCGCTGATGTACACGGACACAGTTCAGACCTTCATCATCATCGCTGGAGCCTTCGTCCTCACCGGCTTCTGTGAGTCTGGTCCGGAGTCTGGGCCTGAGTCTGTGGTAATGATTGACGTCTCAGCTGATGTTTGTGCTGAGATCAGAGGAAAGTTTCACCTGAGATCGGGAACCAGGACTGGACTCTCGACTCTCGACTATCCCTCTCTCTCACCTCCTCTCTCTCTCTGCTCTTTCATCCTTTCTCCTCTCTCCTCTTTCTGTCTCCAACCCTCTCTCATCTATCTCTATCTCCTGTGAGGGGGGCTCTCTCACTTTCTCTCCTCTGTCACCCTCTTATCCCGTTCTCTCCTCAATCTTCTCTAACAATCTCTCCTCTGTCATCTCTCCTCCCTCCTCTCTCACCCTGTCTCCTCTCTCACCCTCTCTTCCCATTCTCTCCTCTCATCTCTCTCCTCCCTCCTCTCTCACCCTGTCTACTCTCTTACCCTCTCTCCTCAGCCTTCTCTGCAGTAGGAGGATACCCAGGCCTCCTTCGCTCCTACCCTCTCTCTCTGCCGTTGAATCGCTCCTCCCTGGACCCGGCTCGTTACTCCATAGCCTCCTCCTGTTACACTCCTCGTGCAGACGCCTTCCACCTCCTCCGAGACGCCTCCTCCTCAGACCTCCCCTGGCCGGGGGTCCTGCTGGGGGTGGCCATTGTGGGGGGCTGGTACTGGTGCACCGACCAGGTCTGTTGATACTGATGTATGGGGTTGATACAAGTTTATACAGGACTAATCTGTGTGTGTGTGTCTCTCTCTCTCTCTCTTTCTCTCTCTCTCTCTCTCTGTGTCTCAGGTGATAGTGCAGAGGTGTCTCGCTGGCCGGAGTCTCTCTGATGTTAAAGCTGGGTGTATTCTTTGTGGATATCTGAAAGTTCTGCCAATGTTCCTCATGGTGTTCCCCGGGATGATCAGCCGAGTCCTCTACCCAGGTCTGGGTCTGAGTCAGAGATCCAGTCTAAGAACAAGTCTGAGGCCGAGTCTGAGCCGAGTCTGAGATCGGGTCCAGATCTGATCTCTCTCACAGTGGGGTGGTCTCAAACACACTGGGTGGTCTCTAACAGACCAGGTGGTCTCTAACACTGGGTGGTCTCTAACAGACGAGGTGGTCTCTAACACTGGATGGTCTCTAGCAGACCAGGTGGTCTCAAACACTGGGTGGTCTCTAGCACTGGGTGGTCTCCAACAGACCAGGTGGTCTCTAACAGACCAGGTGGCCTCTAACACTGGGTGGTCTCTAACAGACCAGGTGGTCTCTAACACACTGGGTGGTCTCTAACAGACGAGGTGGTCTCTAACACTGGATGGTCTCTAGCAGACCAGGTGGTCTCAAGCACTGGGTGGTCTCTAGCACTGGGTGGTCTCCAACAGACCAGGTGGTCTCTAACAGACCAGGTGGCCTCTAACACTGGGTGGTCTCTAATAGACCAGGTGGTCTCTAACACACTGGGTGGTCTCTAACACACTGGGTGGTCTCTAACAGACGAGGTGGCCTGTGTGGTCCCGGAGCTGTGTCGTCAGGTGTGTGGGACTGAGGTCGGCTGCAGTAACATTGCGTATCCCAAACTCGTCATGACGCTCCTGCCCAACGGTACGTCTATAGAAATATCTGCTGATTGCTGACTTGGTGAGGTCTGAGCGGAGCCTGCTGGGGTTGTGTGCTGTGTGCAGGTGTGCGCGGGCTCCTGTTAGCCGTGATGCTAGCAGCGCTGATGTCGTCGTTAGCCTCTATCTTCAACAGCAGCAGCTCTCTCTTCACTCTGGACCTGTGGACCAGGATCCGGCCCGGGGCCTCGGACAAGGAGCTGCTGGTCGTGGGCAGGTCCGCACCATTGAGGCAGTAACCGTAGCAACCACTGTGTACAGAGGGACGATGCTGACCTGCTAGCTCAATAAAGCCCAATAGGGAAGTGCTCATGGATGAAGTTTTGCTGCAAATCTCTCTGAGGTTTATGTGACACTTACATTACTGAGCTAGAGAGAGGAGCTAAACTTCAGCATGAGCTCTTCCTTATTGGACGTCATTGAGCTAACTGGTTGGCATAGAGCTAGCGGGTTAGCATTGTTAATCTGTATACATAGTTCCCACAGACCAATGAATGTCACATGACCTCCTCGGAGACGCCATCTTTGATGGCACGCTGCTGTGTTTGTGCATTCCATTAAACAGAAGAATGAGAATAAATGTAGATATTCAAACGCAAATTGGAAAAAAAGGGCAACTTTTGAGCAAATAATTGTATATTAATACAATGGCACCACAGTTTAACGTGCTACGGACATGTTTTACATATTTGATCAAATTATGCAGCAAAAATTAACAAGCAATGCAAACATTTCTCAAAAACTTTAGATTTAATACCAATTGGAGCTCCATTTAATTATTTTAATTATATTAACAATTAATTTAATTAATGCTAATGCCACACGGACACTCTGGATTGCTGTTATTGTTTATTTCCGCGTTTTTGACCGTATGTTTTGGTGAATGGTGGGCAACTGATTTTTCCAGGCGTAAAGAGCAGTTTATTTTATGACACAGATCTTTTTACAGAAGCAATGCTGTTTGTGAACATTGTTTTAGCCCACCATAGAACTATTATTATCTATTTAATACATTTACGTTGCCCTCGAGAGCCTCTGACGCGACACCGATCCTCCTCATAATAAAGTAATCTAACGCTAAATAATGAAACTCTCAAGTTACCAGCTATCAGCATACACAAGTTAGTACTGAGTAAATTACGTCTGTCAACACATTATAAGATACGATACGCACCTGACACAAAGTGCTCCGAGCATATTCTTGCGTGTTTTGAGGGAGTTTCTTGCCTGTTTATCTTCGCAAGCCATAACCTCCGTGGTTGTTCTGACAAAAGCTTAGTCTTCTCACATTCATGAAGTCTAATGATGGGTATACTGTAAAATCCAAGTTTAACGGAACCTCCGGCACGATTTGAACATCCATTGACCCAGCAGGAGATGACCATTTTCAACTTTATCACAACATTAACACGTTTCAGCTTCTTTTTCTATTGTTTTGCCCACAGCATGCCAATACAAATGGCGCCGGGTCGGCAAATCCCCGTATGTAGTGACGTCATGTAGGAACTATGTATACAGATTATGTTGGCACGAGAGGTGACCGGCTCCTGATTGGCCCCTGGTTGCTTGGCCATTACTACCAACAAAACTAGCATACATGTTGCTTGCTCCAAGCCTTTTCGAGTTAGCTCTAACCTTCATGGAGCCTGTAGAGTCAGCCGCAATAAACTCCTTTGTCTGTTTCTCTGGTGCAGGGTCTGGATCGTGGTCACGGTCTGCATCAGTATCAGTTGGATTCCTGTGGTCCAGGCCTCTCAGAGCGGTCAGCTGTTCGACTACATCCAATCAGTGAGCAGCTACCTGGCTCCGCCCATTGCCGCCGTCTTCTGCAAGAGAGTCAACGAACCGGTACCAAGCTCTCTCTGGTCCCTGTGTAATACCACCTCTTTCCTCTAGGGGCCTGGTCTTCCTGTAATACTCAGCTCACAACAGTTTGTGCTCAAGAAAAAAAAAATCTTTATTTTTCTCTATGTAAATTAGCTTGTCTTTTTTATTATATTGAAGTTGGGGTACCTATTTTATAAACCACAACAACTGTGTAAAGTGGAGAGACTATAGAGAGGGAGAGACGAGCGAGAGACTAGATCAGTGTCTCCCAAAGTGGGGTCCGCGGCCCCCTGGTGGGCCGCGAGGGTACTGCAGGGGGGCCGCGGGAGGTCATAAAAAAAAAAAAAAAAATGTAATGTTAAATTTATAATCTTTTGTTTGTAATATTGAAATATTTGTGTTCATTATTTGACTTGAATAATCCACTGTAATCATTTTTGTATTACAATGTTTGTAGCAGAGGCTATTTCCCCAAAATAAAATAACCAGACGAGCCTATTCTTAATGTTGTCTTCTTGGTTATTATTTTGGGGGGCCACGCAGACCCGTCAGATTTTTAAGGGGGCCTCGGTGTTACTGAGTTTGGGAATGGCTGGACTAGATTAATCATAACTGAAACTGTTGCTGCTGCAGACTCAGACTCTGAACAACATGTGATTTAAGTCTAATTTTTGGTCAAATAAGAACCTCAAGATTTCCAGAATACTGGTCCTTCTGCAATTCTCCCTCTCTTCTGCAGGGGGCGTTCTGGGGCCTGGTGTGTGGTCTCTGTAATACTCCCTCTCTACTGCAGGGGGCGTTCTGGGGCCTGGTCTTCGGCCTCCTCATGGGCCTGTCCCGGATGCTTCCTGAGTTCTGGTTTGGTTCTGGTTCTTGCGTGTTTCCGTCTCTCTGTCCGCGGATCATCTGTGGGGTTCACTACCTGCACTTCGGGATCTTGCTGTTTGCCTGCAGCGCCGCCCTTGTGGTGGGGGTCAGCCTCTGCACCGAGCCCATCCCCCACAAACACGTGAGTCGCATCTGTCTGTGAAACTCAGAATGTTCGACCTGGTTCCATCTAATTCAAATTACGTTTTCTTTACTAAATTACAAATATGTTTTTATTTTTACCGCATTTTTGACCTTGTACTTGATTCTTTGTAAAATATCTATTCTAGAGAGAGACAGACTCTCTCTGCTCACTCTCTGCTCTCTTTCTCTGGTCTATCTGGTCTCTCTCTGGTCTGGACTCTCTCTAGTCTCTCTCTCTGGTTCTCACTGTGACCTCTCTCCTTCAGCTCCACCGACTGGTCTTCAGTCTCCGTCACTCCACTAAACCGCGCATCGACCTGGACGCACCTCCAGCAGAGGGCAGCACTGAGACAGGTTTGAGTCCCACGACCAGAGAGAGAGAGACCAGGGAGAGACCAGGGAGAGACCATTAAGAGAGACCAGAGAGAGAGACCAGAGAGAGACCAGGGAGAGACAAGAGAGAGACCAGAGAGAGAGAGAGACCAGAGGGAGAGACCAGAAGGAGAGACCAGAGGGAGAGACCAGAGGGAGAGACCAGAGGGAGAGACCAGAGGGAGAGACCAGAGGGAGAGACCAGAGAGAGAGAGAAGAAAATGTATCTCCTTAATATTAATATAATAGTATGACAGATGCAGCCAGAAAAGCTAATGTGTTGTGTGTCTCTCAGCTGTGGAAGATGACCAGTCCGGGATCTGCGCTGCGATTGGTCGGTTCTGTGGCTGTGACAGCTCTAAGACCCACCCTGTAGAGGTGCTCTGCCGGACTGCTCTGCCGGACATCAGCGAGAGGCCGTTTTTTAGAAGCATTGTTAACGTGAACGCTCTGATCATGATGAGCGCCGCTGTGTTCATGTGGGGTACTACGCCTGAAGTGTGTGTGTGTGTGTGTGTGTGTGTGTGTGTGTGTGTGTGTGTGTGTGTGTGTGTGTGTGTGTGTGTGTGTGTGTGTGTGTGTGTGTGTGTGCACTTGTTTTCAACTCCTGGTGGGTTCCATAACCTGAGATTCCACTCACGTCATGGGGACTGGTTTTACGTGGTGGGGCCCGAACACCGGACCCCACTGGTCCAAGCTTAATAATCAATGGGTAATGCTTTTCTAACGGTCCTTATGCAGTCTCTGTAAAAATATGGAAAGGACCCCTGGAGGTTTACTTTCCTGAAAAAAGTGTGTTATGTGTCGGAACCCTGGTGGTGGGTTGCGGGATATCAAGGAGGGGCACACTGGGGCAATTTCAGTCCAGCAGGCTGGAGCCAATCATGGAGCAGCACAACAGAGGAAATCAGGTGTCAGGCTAGAAAAAGGTGCAAGTGTGTGGTTCATTAGGCTGCAAGAAATCATGGAGGAGCACACTGAAGCGCACGCTTACAAACCACTGGTAAGTGCTGACTACAAGTCATGACTTCAAATTGTTATATAGAATGATTACAAATTATTTGTTGTTTGTGCAGCTTAGTCAAGAGTCCCTAATTGATGAAGTCGACTCAGATTCTGACGATTTAACTGTCAAGAAGAAACCTGTAAAAAAGTATGGAAAAAGAAAAATCAAAAACACTTTTCTTCAAGACTCGGAAAGTGACGAACCAAAGGCAAATAAGATTGTTATCATGCAGCTGCAAAAGAAGAAAAATGGGGGGCGAGTATACAGCAAGAGACACTTCTGCCTCTACTGTTCAATGTCCTGCCACAAAATGTCCCGTCATTTGACTAGAAAACATGGAAATGAAAGTGACGTAGCCAGAGCATTGGCTCTACCTGTGAAATCTAAAGCACGTAAACTTCAGTTTGATTTGATCAGGAATAGTGGAAACCGTGAGCACAATTTTGAGGTTTTAAAGGCCGGCATTGGAACTTTAGTCCCAGCTAAACAGCCAAATTGCCCAGTTAAATCCAGTGAGTTTTTGCACTGTATAGACTGTGGGGCATTGCTTAAGCGAAAGTCGCTGTGGAGGCATGTGGCCAGGTGCCGGCTTTCACAGAAAGATGCCCAGGCTAAACCAGGTAGAAGTAGGGTCCAGTCCCTCTGCTCCCTAGCCCAGCCTGTACCGGAGGGCATCAGCAAAAAGCTGTGGTCTTTAATTTCGGCAATGCATCAGGATGAGGTCACGGGTGTTGTCAAAGCAGAAAAGGGGATTCTGAGACTCGGAGAGCACCTGTACTTAAAACACGGGCATGATAAGACAAAGCATGATTACATTAGGCAGAAAATGAGAGAAGTCGGTAGGTTAATTAACGAAGCAAAAACCGCAGGGAAACTGAAAACAATTAAGGATTTCTTTATTCCTTCCAACTTTAACCATGTGATTGATGCAGTCAGGTCTGTGGCTGGATATGATGAGGAAACAAATCAATACAAGACTCCATCCTTGGCCCTCAAACTCGGCCATAGCCTCAGAAAGCTAGCAGATATTCTTGAATGTGACTCAAAAATGGAGCATTGTGTTGATGAACTATTTATTAAAAACCTCCAACGAAGCCGGCTGCTTTTTGAGAAGAGGTGGGACGTCTGTGTTTCTTCTGCTGCCCTACAGACCCTCCGGCAAGCCAAGTGGAACACTCCGGACCTGCTCCCTCTGACTGAGGACGTTAGAGCCATGCATGCACATATTGAGGTATGTCGACCTGAATATGTGCAAACCCTAATAAGTGAGCCAACGTCTAAGCATTGGTCTAAACTGGCAGTTTTGACTCTTTGTGAGGTCATCATTTTCAATCGAAGAAGGGAAGGTGAGGTTTCAAAGATGCCACTGACAGCCTTTACCTTAAGAAGTAAGACTGGGATCCATTCTGACATTGCTCTGGGACTGTCCCAACTTGAGAAAAAGCTGTGTCAGCATTTTCAACGCATTGAAATTAAAGGGAAAAGAAGTCGGAAAGTGCCGGTTCTTTTGACTCCTGAAATGATTGCTTCGATGGAGGTGCTGGTGGAGAACAGAAGGGCCTGTTCCATCTCTGACCATAACCCATACTTCTTTTCCCGCCCGGGGCGCAGACACCCACATCAGGGGATCAGACTCCCTACGCCAGGTAGCCAAAGAATGTGGTGCGGTGCATCCAGAGATGCTATCCTCAACCAAACTTAGAAAGCACATAGCTACTATGTCTACAGTTCTCAATATGAAAGAGAATGAGATGGACATACTTGCCAACTTCCTCGGCCATGACATTCGCATCCACAGGCAATATTACAGACTACCAGAGGGGACACTGGAGCTGGCCAAAATCAGCAAAGTGTTGATGGCCATGGAGCAGGGAAGAGTGACGGAATTCGAAGGAAAGAGCCTCGACCAGATACAAATTGAGCCTGAAGGTAATTCTTGATATTATTAAAATATGTATGATTTTTTTCCCCTAAAGGCCACTTGTATTTTTATTTTCTGTGCGACAGGGAGAGCAGTAGAGATCCTCTCACAAACGGACGGGCTAAAAGAAACTTCAAGCGGAGAACCTTCAACCATTCATCCAGATGCACCCCATGGTAGTGGCAGTGCCCCTTCTGGTAAGTGTACCAGGTGGGGGATTACAGCCAGGCTGCTTGGTCCTCACCCTGGGAGTGTATATTGCTAATATATTTTTATTTCTCTCCCTAGAACGTGTAAGAAAGCCATGGTCTGCATCTGAGGTGAAGGCTGTGGAGAAGACCATGACACCTTTCATACAGACTGGAAAGGTCCCTGGGAAGTCTCACTGCCTGGCCTGCATTAATGCCTCACCAGATGACCTTAGACATCGGACATGGAGTGGCATTAAATTCTATGTCAAAAATAGAATCACTGCAATTCGAAAACAAAATCTAAAATAAAATTCCTTTAAAATAGTTGTTTGGTTTCTATTGACTGTTTTGTATTACTTAAAGTCTTGGTAAAAAAAGATTATGTCTATGGGTCCCATTCTGAACGGCCCTGTCAAAGGGACCCACCAGGTAACAAAAACGTGTATGTGTGTGTGTGTGTGTGTGTGTGTGTGTGTGATTCTGAAAAACTGCAAATAAAAACTCCAGGTCAGATTCACCACTGCCTCAGTCTGATGTCACACAGCACCCTGTTTGAAGAAGGAGCAGCGTCTGCAGTCAGAGCTCACCGCTGCGCAAGGAGCTCAGGAGGAGCTCAGGTGAAGCTCCTCCACATTGAGACGAGCCAGTGGAGGTGGCTCATCTGTTTGGGATGCCTCCTGGTTTCCTCCCACCAGGAGGAGACCAGGGGGAGCCCAAGGACACAGCAGGGAACGCCTCAGGATTCAGATGAGCTGGAGGAAGTGTGTGTGGAGAGGGAAGTGTGTGATATGCTGCTGCCCCGCGATCCGGCAGTGGATAAAGTGGAAGAAAATAAATGGATGGATGTATATCATATAGACTGTAAATGTTTTGTATCCATATGTGCTGCTGTTCTGTGTGAGCGCTGCCACAGAGTCCCAATGTGGGAATGATGTCACATTATTGGATATATGTTTTAAGTTTATTTATGTTTGTGTCATGTCACCGTCACGTCCCTAATGCAGATGGAATGTCCATGGCCTAATTAAGTAAGTAAGTAAGTAAGTAATCTTTATTTATATACCGCCTTTTCACTGCAGATCTGAGTCTCAAAGCGGTTTACAATTGTTAATTTTTATTTATTTATATTAAAATAAATAATACAATGTTAGAATCCTCAGCCGAAGCCTGCTCTGCTGTGACCCACACGTACACGTTCACCTTCACGAACGCTGCGGGAGGGGGCTTTCCTTATAAGGGCATCGCTCTGGTTCTGCGCTCTGATTGGCTGAGTGCTCGTGCAGCTGCTTGTCAACACGGACTCAGTTAAATCCAGGCGTTTGGTCCCGGGCCCTTCACACTGAGGAGAGGGCTGCGTCCGGGTCCACAGGCTCAGCTCCTTCCTCCAGGGCTGCTCCCAAACACACAGAGAGACTGAGCACTGAGGCTGAGGTTGAAGGTGATAATATTGTTGATATTATTTCTGATATTTATTCTGTTCGTATGCATATTCCCATATTCTGTAAATACTTTTGAACCAAGTGCAATTATTGCCCAGAGTTTAGTTTATTTTATTTTATTCTTATCTTAATTTTATTGTCTATTATCTTAAATAATAAACTTATTTGATGTGTGCAATCTGAGTGCTCTTATTTCCTCTCTCTGCTGTAATGTAACGATGACACTGAAATTTCTCCATTGTGAGACGAATAAAGGTTCATCTTATCTTATCTTATTCAATAACATATGCATGATGTTGGCCAGAGAGAGACCAGAGATAATCTAGATTCTAGGGAGAGAGACCAGAGAGAGAGAACAGAGAGAAAGAGGTCAGAGCGAGAGAGGCCCTAGACCAGAAAAAGAAAGACCAGCGAGAGACCAGAAAGTGACAGGGGCCCTGAAAGAGACCGGAGACAGATCAGAAAGAGAGTGTTCAGGGAGAGATCAGAGAGACCAGAAAAAGAATACAGGGAGACCAGCTGTCGATCCAAAGAGCCAAATAATGACTCCCAGGGCTCCTTCTCACACAAAGATACATGTTTTCCAATGAGATGATGGCAGCGTGTCGTTCAGAGCTTCCGACGTGGCTTTAATTTAAAATGTTGAATAATACAACATAATTACGACCCTGACGGTTTTAATAGAATACTTTAAATCATATTGAAATTAAAGTGCATGAGTGACGTCTCCCGTTAAACCAGCCGCGTGCGAAATGCCAAGGGTTTAAAGACTGCATTTAACACTAGCTGCATCCGAATTCAGAAACATAATTCTTCCTTGCACACTTCTTTGACATTAGTAGCATAATACAAGACTTAAATGGTATGTATGAACATCACGAAATATCCTATATAGTTACGTTACTAATTGTTAAGCTTACCTTTCCCTTAAAAAGTCGTTTTACAAAAAACGAGGAAGGATAAGGGAGACTAGGGAAGGAGACTTTTTTGCGAAATCGGATGCAACTGCTGATTATTTTGGTGTCCAGGACCAAATACACGCTGAAAACGCTGGTGTCACCCCAGAATAAGACACCGAGAGACGAGCTGCGAGGTTCCCGGGGACCGACCAGGGGTTTGGGGCTCGTCCTGAGGCTTTAGTCCCGCGCCTGGACCGAGAAAAGACCCTTAAACCTGCGTTAGTTCGATGCAGACTCGGGTTAGCATATAGCCACTTAGCTTCGCGGAAACTCGTGTCACCTGCTCTTCATCTTCTTCCCCGGACAAAGTGCGTCATGGCGGGGTAAATCTCACCGGGCAGCTCGCAGGAGACCCACAGCACAAGTGCAACCAGTCAAAACCACGGTAAATATGCTAATCTGTGTTCAATGTGGCTTTGTGTGGCTTGTTTTGTAGCATGCTAGCTCCCTCCGCTATGTTTACGCCAGCTCGATGCTAACGAAACATATTCCCATTTGTTTAACCTAGTTTTAAAACATTGCCAAACCATGACAACGCTCAACATTTAACAGTCATTTAAGCAAAACATGATATATGTTGAATTTAACGCCGTGAACAAAGTATATGTCTCTTAAAGTGAGATTGTCCAGGATATTTGTTGAATGCTTTGTGGAGGCTACAAACAAGGAAACGACCAGTGTCCATTTGAGACGCTTGGAATATTGTTTCATATTCGGTGACGTTTGCAGATTTGTATGGATTTATTCTTATAAATCCACACACATGTAACCTATACTGTTTGGGACGAATAAAGGAATTCTTATGTTATCTTATCACTGATCTCTTCATGCTGATGCCAAGACAACAGCTCACGACAGTTTGTGCTCAAGAATTTTTTATTTTTTATTATTCTTGATGTAAATTAGCTCGTCTTTTTTATTATACTGAAGTTGGGGTGCTTATTTTATAAATAAATCATAACTGAAACTATTGCTGCTGCAGACTCAGACTCTGAACAACATGTGATTTAAGTCTAATTTTTGGTCAAATAAGAACCTCAAGATTTCCATTAGATCTCGGGGTCTTGTTCACGAGTGAGAGATGTTCAAGTTTATTTATACAGCACATTTAAAATACAGCACGAAATTAAAATAAGGGGCGACAGTGGCTCAGTTGGTAGAGCATAGACCTTTGAGCCTGAAGGTCGTGGGTTCGAGCCCACCATAAGACCTACTTCACGACTCCCACTGATACTGCTGTCGTTGTGTCCTTGGGCAAGACACTTAACCCCACTTTGCCCCAAGCCCCTGCTGAAAGAGGACAGGAGGACCAGTGAGGGGCTCGTGCTCTGTGTACTGGGAGCTGCTCTGACTGCCCCCCCCCACCCCCCCAGAAATATGGAAGACTATTGGCACCTTAATTCACACAAGTTGTGAACTGTTGCTAACAAGTTGAAGGGCAGTAACTGTACTAAAGTGTACACTATGGCTACAACTGAGGGCCACCTTAGCATAACAGTTCACAACTTGTGTTTTTCTCCGCACGGTGCTGACTCGGAGTGCGTCTGAAGATCCAAGTGTGCCCACTGTAGTTAGAAGATATGCCATGTCACTGTCTGAATCGGCTTCACATTAACTGTGACTGGTGACTGACCAAGAGCAGCCCGTTTTTAACAGAGACTCGTCTCTGATTGGCCGAGAGCGGACCAGGGCCCGCCTTCCCAGGGGTCAAGAACTGCATAGTATATTGAATTAAGTTGCACTCAAACCATGTGGCAATGCAATATGCAATATGCAATGCAATCCAGAGGGAGGTGCTGTTTCACAACACATTAAATGAAACTTAAAGGACAACTCGCCCTCAAATCCACTTTTTTTTGCTGATAAACGATATAAATGAGTGTCCAATAGTGTTGTCTACATATCCTGGTCATAATTTTGTCACTTTGGTGCAAATTAGTTGAAAGTTAGACTTTCTGCCTAAAACCGTCTGTGAGGCGCCATCTGCTGGCGACCTGTATTACTACATTTGAATTTTGAATCTGGCGCCAACACTGGCACAGAAGTTGGACCTGACGTCTGCAAGTTGGACCTGACGTCAGCAGCCCAGAGCAATGTAAACGGCCCAGTCTCGTTCACGCCCCCTTTAGTCCTCCAGGCTACGCCCATTTAGAGGAAGATTTGAACAGGAAATGTGAGTAACGTAAGCTCCGAGGAGCGGGGGTGAGAACCACTTTAACATACTCAAATGTGGAATACAAGTCAAAATAGGATATAACATGCAATTTTGCCAAATACAACTCTAAACTAAATGCCATGTTAAGAATGAATAGAACAATGAATAAAGAGGCCAAAATTCCATGACAATATGCTATTCATTTCAAAATCTTAAGACATTGTATCGACACTTTACATATTGAATTGCCATTAGAACTTTTGGAATAGAACATTAAATGTCAAAATTGGATATAACATTACACTTTGACAAATACAAATACAAAATAAATACTAAAATAACATAATGCATAGCCATTTGACAAATGAATAGACAATTGAATTAAGGTGCCAATAGTCTTCCATACAGAAATGGATTAAGGGGTAGAAAATGGATTGATGGATGGACAAAAATGAAATACTGGTCCACTATCATAAAAGTTTCACTTTTGCTTGAGTTCAAAAGCCAGAGCAAAGGAATGTGTCTTTGGTTGCGATTTAAAGCTCTCTCTTGATAGAGAGCAGCTCTGACACAATAAGGGAGAGCGTTCCAGAGTTCGGGACCTGCAAAGGCTCGGCCTCCTCTGGTCTTTAGAGGATGGAGTGTGAGATTGACAGGTGGATCGGTGCAGCGTGCGCGGTGATGTGGTCGCTGTATCGGGCTGTTGTGGTGAAGAGGGAGTTGAGCCGAAAGGCAAAGCTCTCAATTTACCGGTCAATCTTCATCCTCTCCCTCATCTCTGGTCATGAGCTTTGGGTAAATGAGCTTCCTCCGCAGTAGTTGGGCGCTCCCTCAGAGATAGGGTGAGGAGCTTTGAGTAGAGCCGCGTCGAGAGTAACCAATTGAGGCGGCTCGGGCTGCGGGCATCTGTTCTGGATGCCTCCTGGACGCCTCTGGGCACGTCCCTCCGGGAGGTGGCCGCGGGGAAGACCCAGGACACGCTGGAGGGACTATGTCTCTCTCTGGCCTGGGAACGCCTTGGGGTCCCCCCGGATGAGCTGGTGGAAGTGTGTGTGTGTATAGTTTGGGCCTTTCTGCTTAGACTGCTGCCCCCACGACCCGGCAATAGATGAAGCAGAAGAAAAAGGATGGACAGATTTCCATCAGAAAATAATATTTTTTATTAATGATGAGATGATGATTATGACCTCATACCACTTTTCATATAGATGGACAATGCTCAATGTAGCAATGAAGTGCTCATGGTGAAGTTTGGCTCCTCTCTCTTGCTCCTATTGATTCTTATGTAAAAGTAAACTCCTGAGTAATGTTTGTGTCACACTGATCATTTCGGGCTTAAATCTGTGCTTTATCGTTCTCTGTGATCCGGCTGTTAATATATGATATTGTTTTTGTAAATCCAGATATGAGCCATGTAAACCGTCTTAGTAACACATCTGCCCCTGTTACAGCTCGAAGCTAACGCCATCAGAACAAATGCCCATATAAGGAAACTGGCTCCAGCTTATGTTCAAATCAGCTTCTTTTGCTAGGCTAACTCTGTGGTCATGTCACATTCAGTCAGTTCTCTCCCCTATGTGTGTGTCATGTTGGATACACATGTACACACACTATTGAAGTCTCTGCTCTCACCACCTGCTGCAGTCCTGATGTCACGCTCTCTCTGCAGCTGGCACTGAGCCGCCGCTAAGTACTCTGGGTAATACCCCCTTAGACCCCTCTCCCCCACCACCACCAGCCTCAGCCTCCAATAGGGGATAAAAATAGAGCCGCGTGTGGCTGAGGTCCACCCTGGTGACTCCAGAGAGAGAGACCGGTGAGAGAGACCGGTGAGAGGGGGAGAGACCAGCGCGAGAGAGAGAGACCAGCAAGAGAGACGAGAGACATATGAACTGGACATAATGCAATAGTTTTCTGAAGAGTTGATAGTAGAACATGTATTAAAGAGATCATGTTGTTGAAATGTGACTAGTTATTCACAAGAGTAGAGGTCTTCAGGTGGACTGTGCTGCAGAAAAGAGGCCGATGGATCAGGTTCAAGTTTGAGGCTCTGATGGACGGTAAATGTGATAAACATCGACAGCAGACAGAGTGGAGCTACTTCCTCACTCTCACCTTTCTCTTTCCTCACAGCAGCTCAGAGCACACAGAGGGCCACGGAGAACATCTTTAAACTCCACGAAACCTCAACATACACCTCTCTCTGTGTTTCAGGTGCGACCCTCAGACCTCAGACCTGCCCCGGTCCCCTCTAGAGGTGAGTCTCTGCCTTCTAACTCGAACATGGGAAGTCTCAGTTAGCAGGACTGATAAGTGCTTAAGAAATGTGTTAAGAGCTAGTTACAACTTGAAAAATGAAGAAAATATCACAAGAACCATATAACTCTATTCTACTCTAACTGGTTGTGTTTCCATTACACTTTAGTATCTGGTACTGTATCCTAGCAACCTACCCACAACAAACCACTATTCGGGGAAATTCCTGCGTAACCATGGCTTCCAGCAGCTCTCTGGCCAATCACAGTCAATTAGAACACTTTAGTACCAGCTCGGCCTGGACAGAACCAAGAGGGACTTAAGAAGGACCTGCTACTGGTTACACCGGACCAATCAAAGTTGGGTCCAGTTGAGTCTAGTAGTACTAGCTTGTTGTGTAAACGGGCGGCACGGTGGCTGAGTGGATAGCACTCTCGCCTCTCAGCAAGAAGGTCCTGGGTTCGAATCCCGGTCGGAACAGGGCCTTTCTGAGTGGAGTTTGCATGTTCTCCCCATGTCTGCGTAGGTTTCCTCCGGGTACTCCGGTTTCCCCTACCACTAAAAATATGTCCAATAGGTCTGGCATGCGCCTCCTGTACTGGCGACCCCGCTCCCACACACTCTCTGTGTGGAGTGAGTGACAAATGCCCAAAAAAAATAACAATTGTAAACCTCTTTGAGACTCAGATCTGCAGTGAAAAGGCGGTATATAAAGATTACTTACTTACTTACTTAATATTCTGGTTGTGTCTCTCCCTCAGGTGCCTCTCGAGGGTCAACATGACGCTGTTCCCCTCGTAGGCCCTGTGTCCTGGGGCTGTTCCCTCTAAAGCCCTCCCTCCCTGGGCTCTTCCCCCCGTAGCCCCTCCCTCCCCTGGCTGCAGTGATGGAGCGTGATGCCTTCTCCCACATCCGGCTCTGGTGCCCGCGACCGTTTGGTACCTACTCCCAGAACAAGGCCCAGTCTGCGGCTGCGGTCAGCGCCACGGCCCCAGTGGAGCCTCTGTGTGAGTACTGTTTGAAGCTGTCTTTAAGACCACAGCAATAGAACTAGTATATCCCTGTTTAAAGCTGGGGTACTTTCTCTTTAAGACCACACTAATACACTAACTAATACATCCTCTCTCCTCTCCTCTCTCCTCTACCCTCACCTCTCTCCCCTCCCCTCTCCTATCTTCCCTCTCCTCTACCCCCAGGCTCTCGTCTGGATCCCTCTGCAGGTGATGACATCTCTCTCCCAGAGGACAGTGCTCTTGTGGAGGTGGGTGATGTGGAGAACAGGCCTCCAGAGGTGGAGCTGTCCCCTCAGGGCTCTCCCCCTCTCCCCCCTCCTCTCCCCCCTACCCCCCCCTCCTCCTCGGCCCAGGTGGAGGACGGGCGTGTGCTTCTTGACACCTGGTACGTCATCAAACCAGGAAACACCAAAGAGAAGATCGCCTTCTTTGTGGCTCACCAGATCAGCGGCGCAGGACAGGCTAGACCCGGAGCGGTTAAGGTAGGACTGTCAGACTGTCACAGGAATCAGGGAGGCACGGCTCTATGGTCTCTCTCTCTGGTCTCTCTCTGGTCCCTCTCTGGTCCCTCTCTGTTCTCTCGCTATGCTCTCTCTCTAGTCTGCTTCTTCTTGTGTTTACTCTCTCCTCTCTCTGGTCTCTCCCTCTGCCCTGGTCTCTTGTCTCTCTCTCCCTCTGGTCTCTCTCGCTGGTCTCTTGTCTCTCTTTGTCTAGTCCTCCTGACCTTCTCTCTCTGCTCCTCAGGTGAAGGGGAACTGGTCCAGCGGCTGCAGTAAAGCCAAACGCAGACGTCGCTGCTCCTCCTATGACCCGCCCACACGGTCCCCGCCTCAGTCCCAGGACCTGGCCTCAGACCCCCCAGACCCCGACTTAGAACCCGCCTCAGCTGCCCGTCCTGACACCTTCGAGACAGACCTGCTCTCTGTGGCTGAGATGGTGGCTCTGGTGGAACAGCGCACGGCTCTGGCTCTCCAGGGGATTGTGGGTCTGCACCATGACCCAGACCAGGGTGAGTCCAGACTAAGATACAGTATGTAGTATACTCAAGTGGTCCCCAACCTTTTGCCTCATATGTTCACTGTATTCTTAAAGGAATGTCTCCTTTAAGGAGACTATATCTACTCCTATCTCTCACTCTGGTCACTCACTCTGTTCAGTCTCACTGATCTCTCTCTGGTCTCTCCAGTCTCTCTGGTCTCCCTCTGGTGTCTCTCGCTGGTGTCTCTCCCTCCGGTCTCTCCCTCAGGTCTCTATCGCGGGTCTCTATCGCAGGTATCTATCGCAAGTCTCTATCGCAAGTCTCTATCGCAGGTCTCTATAGCAGGTCTCTATAGCAGGTTTCTATAGCAGGTCTCTATAGCAGGTCTCTATCGCAGGTCTCTATCGCAGGTCTCTATCGCAGGTCTCTATCGCAGGTCTCTATCGCAGGTCTCTATCGCAGGTCTCTATCGCAGGTCTCTATCGCAGGTCTCTATCGCAGGTCTCTATCTATCGCTATCGCAGGTCTCTATCGCAGGTCTCTATCGCAGGTCTCTATCGCAGGTCTCTATCGCA